CAGTGCTGCCAACCGCGGGCGGGGAAAATGGCCGCGCTGCACGGATGCGTTGCGATTCGTCTTGTCTACTTAATGCCTATGGTACCTGGCCCACCTCGATGTTCACATACCTACAAGGATTTCGTCTGCCCTGTTGGCAACCCTGCAGCTGACTAAAGGCCGCGTAGCAACTCGCCCCCGGTTTTCCAATGCATGAGTTCCGGCCGGCGGAGCGCCTGGAACGGGCTGGCCAACACCGCGCTGGTGCGCCGAAATTGGGCCGAAACCACTTACTCTTGATATTTTTGACGCCGTCAGCCCCGCCCGCGAACGCGGAAGCCTGACCTTGGACCCCGTGGTATAGCCCGCGTAACACACACTGGGCCAAAGGGGCAGGGGGGGGGGCGCTTTCACACGCTGTCGGGCGCAACGCGACGTGAATGGATCATGTCTATGGAATTCCTGTCTCGCGCGCACCAGGTGGTGCCAACCCAGGGCCTGCCCATAGTCCCGTGTGCATGAGACGAAAGACCAGCACCGCGGTTTCTTGTTTGTGTTCTGCGAAGGCGAAACATTTTGAGGGATCCTTTATACGCGTCTTCTCCTCGTCGCGGTCTGCCCTTCCACTACACTGCATATTTGGCAGGACAACGTGTTTGAGTGGCTTGTTTACAGTTCGTGACGCCGTGCCCGGCCCGGCGCCCTGGCTGCCAGCCCCGTCAGCCCGGGCCGCGCCACTCTGCATTCCATTACACGGCAAGCTGGGGAATGAAAAGGACATCACGGGATGCAGCGCCTGGCAGCCCCCCTCCCCCCCTCCCTCTTATCACTTTCCGGGCATCGGAATCCCATCCCGGTTCACGCCAAGCCGATGGACGTGGCTGCACTGCGGCGAGGCTGCAAGGCGGTGACTTGCGACGCAGCCAGCCTCGTCCCGAAAGGGTGCACCAAGTCCCCGGGGCACATAAGCGGTCGGTGAGGAGGCAGTGTGGTGAACTATGGCGGCGCCGTAACAGATGGCTGTCCTGGAACCGAACGGGGATTCTACGGCCGGCAGCGACCCGCAAACGCCTGTCCGTCTTCCTCCGGGACGTTCGGGCAGGACACACCGATGCAGTTGCCCGCCAGGTCGCTCGCCCCGCTCAACCGCAATCAGAGAGAGAGAGAGAGAGAGAGAGAGAGAGAGCTGCGCCCGATGCAGCACGCGGTCACTGCGGGAGTCGTTCCCGCACGTTATAAATCCAACACTCGAAACTCCCGCAGTCGGCCAAATCGAAGCCATCACCCCGCGGCGGTGCTACTCTTTCCTCGACCCTCACGCCCTCTCCGTCTTTCTTGCCGTCATCCACTTCGTTGCCGTCCGTCGGGGACCCGTCCAGGACCCGCCCCGGGGCTGGGTTAGCAGAGGTGAAGCCTTGATGAGCCTTGGTGAAGCCTCGCGACGTTCATGACCACCGTCAAGTGCAGCTGGCTTTCGGTCATTTGGTTGGAATGATCAACCGATGACCCTTGGCATTGAAAATCCCTTGGTAGGTTCGTTCAGATACCAGCGTTACCTCGATCTATATCCAGAACTACGATTTTTCGTTTCCGGCCGGGGACGTCAAGTATGAAACATTTAAATATTAAGTTGGCAGCCCTGAGATACGGTTTGTCTTTGGCCTGACTTTGAATGCGACTTCCTTTGCGCCAACCTAACCCCCGCAGACGCTTTATTTTTTCCCCTTCGGCGTCTTGGATCTGAATATGGAACGGCCTGCCATTGCCGGATGTTTTCATGTTTTCGTTTCGGTGGGTTGGCAGTATTCATGGCCGTGCCGCCATGTGAAGAAGAATCGGACGCGCTTTCCCTCTTTCTCGCCATTCCACGGCCGACTAAATGTTGTTTCCAATACTTGTCTGTCCGTGATTGGGGCTGCGGGAGAGAGAAAGAGAGAGAAAGAGAGAAAGAAAGAAGGTTTCGTCAGTCAACACGGAGAGCTCTCCGCAGGGCCGGGGTCGTGGGAATGACAGCACTTTGGCGAAACCAATTAAATACCAGCACTCTACTCTTTATGGTTCGCTTCTGAGTACTTTTCGGGCAGCCACTGGCCACGAAAATGCAGGCGGTGAAGTTGGCAGGGGTGCGTGCATAGGCAGTTTGCCTGTGTATCTCCGAGTTGATCTTGTTAGGTGACTTTTCCCTTAAGGAATTAACGCCGATTAACGTTTTAAGGGCCCCGTCTTGTTTCTATTGAGGAACCGAACAACTGCTAGTTTGTCCCTTGGGGTGGCTCGACCACTGCCCTTCGGGAAGTCGCGCCACCAGAAAGCCTCAAACAAACCGAATGCCGTTCGTGCCTGGCCGCCCCCGCCATTGTGAATTAATAGTGTGGGGGCAGCGGCGCCGCGGGGTGCATTGGTCGTGTACGTGCGGGTCGGGCACGGTGCGGGCACCACGGTGTGCGAGAGAGACAGCGCACAGGCCTCCATAATTCACGCACCTCGAACGTGTCCCGGCCGCCCTCTCGCCCGCTCGGGCAGACCCCGACCTAGTCCCACATCAACCTGTGGCTGGGCTGCGTGTGCACAGTTTGCACAGTGTGCACGCCGCCTTCATCTGCACACCCAGCCCATGGGCCTGCCTGGGCTGCCTGCGTGCGCGCCGAGATACGCCCCCGCGCCCCTGGAAACCGTTTAAACTGCGTCCGAATATGCTGTTCCGAGTGAGACATTTGGCTGGCCTTTTCAGAGGCGGCCCGCCATGCTGCCGGCGTCGCTCTGTTTCACAGCGTTATTTCATCCGGCTGCTGCGCCACCCGGGACCCTGACGCCGCCTCACACCCTCGCACTCAAATCGTCACTCGCCCGGCAGCGTGGACAACAATGTCGCGCTGTCTCTCTCGCGCTCGTGCAGCGTGCCGCGGCGGTGCGAGAGAGACAGCGCCACGACGCACTACTGCCCTCGATCATCCCCGAATGGCCACCGTGTTGTAGCGGGCGTTACTGTCGCCGCGGAGTAATGCGACTACACTGATGGCCGAAAAGAACTTCCCTGTCGCATGTTCCGCGCTGCGGTCGGGCTGCCCGCAAAATTGAGGGGAAACTAATTTCAACTATTCGGGGCGCGACCGGTGGTTTCGCTAGCGCACTGCTTTTTTTCGCCGCTTGTCACGGCGAAGTTAAGTGGCGAAGGGAGGGACAGACGGGCGGACGGCGCGCCGAGAGATGAGCCACCGACCTGGCGCGGGATTTAACCAAATTATTCCCTTCTGCTTCCCTGTTCCTTCTTCGGCCGCGGGCGAGAGGTGGCTCCTCCCGGCGAGTTAAACGGAGCAGAGACTTGGTGCCGGTTTTAATATGCATTGTCGGCAACGCGTCCTCATCTTGCTGGGGCCATAACAATTACTCAGGCAGGGGTGTGTCAGTGGGAATTACCTCCAGTCACTGTATCAGTTCGTAATTCAAACCCAGCGGAGTTTGACTTAAGATGCCTTGAGTTAAGACTTCAAAACAATTAAGAAAATCCCAACCAAATATCGGACATTTATTTGCGAATTTTAAATCCAGCTAGCCAAGCAGCCAGCTCTTTAAATAATTTTTTTTCTCCATATTTTTTGCCTGTATTTTTTGTTAGTTTCACTGCTTTTGTCTTGAGATTCCGGGTAACCCGCGGCATTTTCCCTTTCGCGGCAGGGCCAGGCCCAGGTCCAGGACTCCCTGTGTCGCTGAGGCTCGGTCAGGTTCGCGCTCAGGGATGCAAATCCCTGCAGATGTGGGCCAGCCTGGCAAGCCGGGCCAGCGTGACAGTCCGAGCAAGGCAGGAAGGCAAGCCGAGGTGGGCCTGCCTTTTTGTTGTGAAACGGCCAAAGTTGCCGCGTCCTCTTTGCTCATCTTACTTTCCTTCCTGATTCCCCTTTGCCTCCTTGTCCAACACATTCACCTGGTGGCGTTGTGCCCCGCGTGGTGTTCGAAACAAAAGCGGAAGTTTCTGCGGGGCTGCCGCCTCGGCTGCTGCGGCGACGCTGAGAACCTCGCCGAGAACGTCGCGCTGACACGGGATGTGACACTCTGACCCACTCGCAAAAGTAGCGTCGTATCTTTGTGCCTCCTTGTCCTGCGGAAAGGGTTGGTTCTTGAGGCGCTCTTGTTTGGACCAGGTATGAAATAACCATGAGCGGAAATAGACGCGTTGTCTTTCATAAGGATTCCAGACAAAAATAGTGAGTCACAGAAAGTACTTTTGAAGCATTCCAATCAAAGTCGTATTCTGTTTTAACTGCGCTTCACTGCGTTTTGTTTCGCACTTCAGCTCTTAATTTTAAATCATTGTGAAGTGTCATTTACTCGGCCATTCATTTCTTCATAACTTGCAAAACATGATTTATTTTGATTTTTAAAATGAAATTAGGCAGTTGAATGATTTTAAAGTTCCATGGGCAAATGCTGGAGCCGTCGACTCTCAAACAATCAAATTCGATCGAAATGAACCTCCTTATTTGGTTTCATTCGTTAGGATACGGTTAAAACTCTACTCGACCTTCACCATTTTTATTTTACTTTTATCTTTTTGTGAGAGTGTGGTCACTTACCCAATTGACTTGACGCTGTGTTGCGTGACGGCGGCGGAATCTCACTGCACCATAAATCAGACGCACTATCACCCCGACGAGCAGGGAACGCGGCGGAACAATAAATGTGCAAATGGCGTTGCAATCCTCGGCCAGCCCTCGGCCCGCCCTGCCTGGGCCCTGACGGCTTGGCTTGGCGCGCCGGGTCGTATCGCGGCGTACTGGCGCTCGGCCGGCGCTCGGCGAGGCAGGTCAGGACGTCGCGACGGTGAACGAACGAGGCGCAGCGCTCCACCAGGCTGCACAGCAGCCAGTGCGGCGTCCCGGACGCCACTGGAGCCGCGCGGCCGCGTCCACCCCCACCCCCACCCCGACACCCCGACCCCCACTCTCTCGGTAAATACTCGTGCAGGCACTGAGCGAATGCAACGGGCAAGATAAGCTTTCGGACGGAAAGAAACACAAGGTGGACTCGTTCAGGGAAGCGCTGCTCTCACTCTGTCTTTTTTTTATTGGACTTATTTTCAAATTATTCTTTTTTAGTAAATGCTTACAAAACAACCAAGTTCGACACGAAGAGTAATACTAATCTATCACAATTGTATAGCTCATTATCAACCGGGTAGTTAGACAAAGCATACTGAACCCCAAGGCATTACGTAATAAGCAAACGGGAGCAGCAAGTATCAGTACAAAGGCTCCTTCTGGTTCTGGCTATTCTGCGCAGTACTGTTCAATGCACTCTTGCCGTTGCCATTACTCTCCCCAGAGCCCTCGAAGCCGATCGCATACGGACTCAGCGGCTGAAACTCTTTTAAAGCGTCCTCTAGCTTTTCCTCGTCGGTCTTGGCCTTCTTTACAGGTTTGGTCGACCCACTGCACTTGAAGATGAACTTGAGTTCCTCCCAGAGTTCCCTCTTGAATGAGACCTGGAACAGATTTGGCACGGGGAGTTAGCAACGTTTCCTCCTGAGAATGTTTGGCGTTCGTGTTGACCCGCTTACTTCTCCGGCGTGTGCTCTGACGGCCAGGTCCCAAAGCAGCTCCCCGAACGCCACGACCACGGCGATGCCCACGCCCACGCCCAGGACGAGGAACACGCCGCCCACGTTGGCGAGGCCCAGCTCCCCGGCCGAACTTTCTTCCGATTGCTGGAACAAATAATCCATTTTTGTAATGATTCATAAGTTGGGCCCGGCCGTCGAGGAAGTGAAACAACAATCTTTAAGCGACAGCCTCACCCCGGAACACTTTCCTCCGCCTCTTCTCTGTTCCCACCAGCGCGTCCTCAGTTCGGACAGTTTGCCGCTCTCTTGCAGTTTGACAACAGCAGCTGACAAAGCCGTCAAGTAAGGTGCGTCTGAAAGAAACAAAAAGCGTTACATTGGTCCAACAGCCTTTGCCAGCGAAAATATCCAAGAGCAGGCTCACTTTTCCTCATTGCAATTCCATATCCCTTTTCGTCAAGATTCAGACCGACTTTTCTCACGTCGCACTCGCGTTGCGCTTGGTAGTCGATTGAAGAAGACTCCATGAAAAAAGCGTAGTCTCCCCCGGACTCAATCACACGCCTCACGCCATAACTGTTTTCCGCCATGTTGTCCATTTTGGAATACATTTTTTGGAAAATGGGGTCCTTTGAGTCCTGTTTCAAAATGACACATTTGTTATGTTACAGAAACCAAAAGCTAATATTTCATATTCTACTTAAAATTACATACCCTGAAAAAGTTCAAAGTGGATCCACCTTCCTTTGCACCGTATTTGACTCTTGGGTGGTCAGCGAGTTGCTTTGGGTCTGAGATAATTTCTTGAGTTGGCTCCACAGTCAAGAAGGCAGCCAGGTTAGCAGTGTAGGATGAGACCATAATTAAAGTAAAGAACCACCACATTCCGGCCACCATTCTCGTCGAAGGAGCAATGGGTGCTATTTCAGAACCTTGCTGCATAAGGGCTCCGATAGTAAACCAGAATGCATTCAGCACGGTAAATTGATTTTCGAGCTCCTCTGGTTCCTCAATACAGGGGTACGGGTTCGTCCATTCTCCGGGAGTAATTCGGGCCATCACGTAGAGCTCGAGAGACACGACAACATACGCAGCAAGCAAATACACCCAAACCTCTCCAGAGAAGGGGTCCAAGAACGAGAACAGACTTGGCTGAAGTTTCGATGGTGTTGTATGCAACAGTGCAATGCCTAAGTTCATAAAGGGCTTGGTGAAGTCTACTCCAGCGGCTCGATCGTAGGTAATTGTTAAATCTGTTATTGCCAAATCTGCTTCCTAAAAAAACCAGAAAGTAGTAAATGCAATACACTTTTAAATCCATAAAAAAGAACTCGGTCTTGAAAATACATACGTCTGTTTGTACTTTGCCCAGCATTCCGTTGCATTTTTCCGTGACAATGTCACAAGAGCCGTATTTGTTATCTGGCTGTTGAATGAATGTATAATTAAATCCAAGCATTTGTGCCAATTCTTTGATGAGATCAATGCAGAACCCTTCGTAACGGTCGTTTCCACTCAGCTTTTGGGCAGAGTCCTGAAGCATGTTGTACGGTTCTGCCTGCAAAACAAAGCAAGATCCGTTTTTGGGACACTGGATGATAAAAATTTGTCCGGTCCTTTAGACAATAAACTTACGAGAGCTATCATAACTCTGAAGGTTTTGTTTCGAACGGACTCAAGTTCCTTCCTAAACTCTTCCTTTGCGCGCTCAACACGAGTAAGGTTAAAGGTGTTGACATCAACGTTACCGATGGTTTGAGTGCTTTCGCCTTCAGCACTCAGCTCCACGATGTCCAAAGAGTAATCCGTGCGGAAACCCTGGTTGTCGAATCTTATCGGCCCGGTAAGACCTTCGATCTCCGTCTTAATTTTAAAAAAAGATGAATTAATAATGTGCGTAATATCATTGTGCCTTTACTTTTCATAAGAGGTAAACATACAGTTTTCATAAAGTTGAGCAAACTGAATCCATGTTCCCAGCCTTTCTGCTCTTCGCACTGAAGCCCAGGCAGCTCCACCTGACGACTTTCGTCAAGTCGCTCCAGGGCACGAGCAAACAGGTGGACAGCATCCCACATGAGCGCTGGGGCTACCTGAACAGAAAAAAATGCCATTTTGCTGGTGCCATTTTTCATAGCAGTTCAGTTTGCCATTTCGGATACGTACTCTCAGATTTCCTGGTTCCAATACAGATGTCTCGCCTGCCATGGCTGCAGCCGAGGCCCACAACTCTACTGTGGACTGGACCATGGCACTACCTGGTCGAACAATCCTCAAGCCTGTCATGTTCGTTCCGGAGTAACGATATGGTTCCAAATCTAGTGTATGGAAGTCCTGACAGTTAAACAAAATATTTGCAATATGAAGCAGTGAATGTCAAACCTGGAAGAATACTCGTTCCCCACGCTCGACCGTTTGTCAACTCACCAGATTTGTTATCAAGAAATTGAAGGCATTTCCCATGACACCGATCTGCTGAGCCTGCTTAAGTGCTTCAGCAAGCGTGTCAATACTGCAGTCTATAATAATGTTTTTCACTTTGTCGGTGATTATCTCTCGGAATATCGGCCTGAAAACAATGTAGGTTCTTAAATTGCTTAAAACAAGAATAAGAATCAATTTGCGGTACTCACTTCATGTCTTCTTCCGGAAGCTGACGCACCGTCACAGTGTAGCCCTTTGGATCGTACTTCTCCAGTAGCTGGCTTACTCGAACGAGGCTGTCATCATCTTCGTATAGAATCGTGAAATCTTTCCAGCCGTACTCGTCAACAAGGCGCAGTAAAATTTGCGACAAGGTGCTGTAGTGCGGGTACAGGTTGATCGAACATGTCTCTCGATTGAGGTAGGGGTTGAAGTGTGTTGTATGTGCGGCACTTCCATTGTGTCACACACTGCCTGAATGTGGCTACTGGTGGCTTTTGAAGATGGCCCAAATATGCCAGCCATGCCAGAAGTCATCAACTCGCACACTGGAATGAAATTAGCACGTATTAAAACGTTTTATTCAGAGAAATAGCACTAATATTTTGTCACTAAAATGTTACCTGTGCGTGCAGTGCCAAAGCTGTCAAACATTGAAACCGACATGGGATTTGCAGTGACTTCTACTTCTGCCAGTAAATTCGGGTCTGCGTTAACGGCTCCGACTGCCCTCAAAAATGCGGTCTGCACTTCATCTTCCTTTGCATTTTCAAACAAACCACCTTTAGCAACAAAAATAATTTCTCTATATTCTGTGCCTTCAACTTGCGTCATAAATAGTGGATTTTCTTTTGACAACAGTACAAGTAAAATATGACACTTTACAGAGTATACTCAGTAGTCATTCATTTGTCATGTATCTGCACTGTCCAAAACTTACCGATGTTTACTTGTTGTGGGAGTGCATCTGATTTGGGGAAAGCCACTATGAAGGCGGCAACAAGCGCCAGGGCTAGGCTGCCTCTTCTAGGCTCCATTATTTTCCCCTCAAATTTATCGCACTGCCCGCGATACAACTTTCCTCTGCGAAACAAATGGGCGAGATAGACCTACAGGTATGGCGTCTCACATCACTGGCGTGTCCTCTTCGCCGCCTGCCTACGCCGTCCAGGCTCCCGCTTGCTGGCTCTGCCTCATGACCCACTGCGCCCCGCTGGACCGTCAAACCGTGTGTTAAAGTCGCGCGGCGGCCATGGTGACCCGACGCATTCCGTGTGTGCGCAGGCTGAACTGAGGCTTGGCTTTTGACTTGGCTGCAGTGAGAGGCTGACCAGCCGGCGGGGCCGCGCGGCCGCACGGCGACGCGTGGGACACAAATAGCACGCGACCTGGTGCCGCGTGCCGTGAGGGGAGGTTGGCGGGGAGGGCCCCGTGGAGGGGTGTGGTGCAGGCCCCGCGAGTCAACGCTCGTTTCCCGCGACTCGCCGCGACTCGCCGTGCAGGCACGCAAGCGTCATCCGCAACGTGCGCGGGCCAAATAGTGTACAATGATTACAAACTGAACGCAGCAGCAACGCCCGCCTAGTTTTGCGGTTTTAGTTGCCAGAGGCTTGGCATGGCTCAGAGTGAGACGGAAGAACGGGAAACTTTCGAATATGCAAATTCAGATATGCGCGTCAACGGCCTCAGCAGAGGATTCATACTGTAATCACTTGACCCTTTCTTTGTGATTTATAGTTTTCTTTCAGTGTCAGGGTGTTGTTCTTTTGAGAGGACCAAGGGCGATGAGTAAGCACACACGGCAGGAATACTCCACGGCCCGGGCGGCAGTGTCTCTGCCTGCTCACAGTAGCGCCGCATGCGGCCGCTAGTTTGCGGGGGGGGGTAGACTCTTTGATCGGAGCAATGAAATGGTGCTCATTCTATTGCTAGTTTGAATTTTTGTGGTTTAAAATAACACCAACTATACCCCGCGATTTTTGTATTTGCTTTGTATTTACTTTTAGTCGTAAAGTGTTGAAAAGTGTAAAGTGGGGTTTATAAATAAGGTTGAAAAGACGCATCCTTTAAAAAAACAGGTTTTTATTTAGAACCACATTGGCACAAGAAATTGAGTATTTATTATGTTCAATGTTTATTCTTTGACAAATTTTTCACCAATGACTTATTTTATTTATAAACAGTAGATTCCAGATGAATACAAATAATTAAAGATAACACAGGAGCATAAGTGTCTCGCAGGTGATTAATTGAGAGACGCGTCTTCGGTGTTTTGAAGAACTGGCCTGTCTTACCCTATTGCCTAGAGGATACCAACATACGAATATAAAGTTTTACTTACATTATTTTGTTAAATCTACGGATTTGAATGGGCTAAAATGACATATTTTTGTTTAAATAAACAAACTGGTCTTGGAACAAACGACTCCTCAAGGAAGTGACAAGGTTTTCCGCAAGGGTTCTCTGGAATTTCTGACATAAAGCAAACCATTGGAGGAGACTGGAGTACAATGGTAACAAAATGTAAGGATATGTGACGCCACAAACCCATATTTTACTAAAACTATTGAAACGTGTTACACTAAAACGTTGTTCTAAGAAAATAAAGGAAGGCAGTGTGTTTTCGTCAGATTCCCAGAGGGACACAATTTTTGTAATACCTCACGATGGTTACACTTATCAGTAACAAACATTAACATGGCATTCGTGCTCAATGAAGGCTATGAGAGACATGCGTGGCAGTCTTTTTCCCAACATTCGAGGGAATAAAGCCCTTGAATAAAGGCGGTCTATGAAAACCAAGTCCAATTGAAAGTCCACCGTACCGACAGCTTATTCCTACTTTTACAAAGACTAACATAAACGAGTGTGGCAGTCCAATCCATACAAATCTACAGAAAAAAATGGGCTGACAGTTTGAAATTCCTAAAAAGTCTCATATGAATCACAAAAATCACAATTGAATTTATTTTGGGCCACGACACAAACCCAACCTCACGGTTTTTAATCCACTAACAATAACTCAAACGTTCAACGGGACACACAATAATTGAGATTCTGTCTTTGATCCGTACGCTTTATCTTCTGACACGTGTACAGCTGACACTGCATTCTCTCCCATTTTATTGTCTAAAACGGTTACTCGGCTCGTGAGAGGGCGTGTTTGTCTGAGTACGGCTTGTACGTGGGGACCTGCTCTGTGCTTTGAGAAGTGCAGGCTTGTCCGTCCAAGGCACCGCGAGCTTGCCCTTGGCTGCCGTGGGGTCCGTGAGCATTAGTCAGCACCATACACGGTGGGGAAAAGTGCAAGTGGTCCAGCGAAACTTTCGTCTCCAGCGACTCCTGTGAACACATCACGCCGGCTGTAGCAGTGTGCCGCACTTCCGGTCGACGGGCGTGGCACTTCCGGTGACGCAAAGCGGCAGAAGAACAGTGGCAGTGGGGGTCACATTCCGTGCGGGTGCATCCCCACCGTTTACGGGTTCAAAGAAATGTGGAAACTGTTTACTGCCAGGAAAGGAAAACGTTATTGTCTGAGTGATTTGTTGGCGCTGCATTCATGCAATGGAGCTGCGGTCCTTGACTATCTCCGAAATGATGTGAGGAGGCGGCAGCGATCCAACAGGAGTACTCACTTTCTATCGTGCCAACACGACGCAGGCATGGGCAGTGGACGGGAGCAGGCGTGGAAAAGAAAAAACAGGTGTAAGTTTTCGTTGCACTACTAACGTCCACTAAGATGCGTTTTCCGGTCAGTTCGTTGAGCAAAAGGCTTCATTGTTGAGGTTGTATCATCATGCTGCCTAAACCAATTCTACAAGCGACATGGTAATAAACTAATATGAGATTTGAACCAACCTCACGCTATGAAACGGGTGGCAGTCTGCTAGCAGCGCAATTCTGGAGGCAATTCTATATCCCGCATCAGTGTTTGTTGCTGCTTTTCCTTGGAATCGCACAGCTGGCAACAAAGCCACCAGTACATGTCAGTCGGACAGGCTCAGATCCCATGCCACTAGGCTATTTCATTTAGTCACAAAAAATTGAGGTAAGATTCCGGTAAGGGGTGCCAACGCATTTAAATGTGCGTTTTGGTAAACAAGGTCAGGTTAAACTCAAGTCTCACTCTTTGTGAAAGCAGTGCATTGTTATGTTAGAAAGGATGTGCACAAACACCAAAACTAATTCAAAGTCAGTCAGTAGCAACGATACAAAACGCACCATGGCAGAGTTCGCACAGGATCCCCACATGCATTTGCGGTCCACCCGAGACACCTGGTGCTGATGACGCTGACTTTGGCTATTTCACGCTGAGCAAACATGCACTTGGGCCTCACGCTGATGACATTCACATGTCGCATGCATTTTTCTGAAGGCTTGTACCATGCAAGAAGCTTCAAACCGAAACTGGGTTCGAACTGAGTTTTCCCCTCACCCGCTCTTCCACGGCCACTTTGCGCGCCTTCCACACGAACTCGGCCACGGCGATGACGCATGCCACACCCATGCCGCCCAGCAACACCACAAAGACGCCGCCGACGTTGGCCAGGCCGAGCTCGTTCGCGGCAGAGCTGCTCTTGCTGGGGTCGTCCTGGAACACGGCAGCGTTGAGTTTAGGACAGGCAGAACGGGCGAGACTTGGAGCGCTTTCCCGCCATTAGGTTGGCAATGAGTTCTAGAATAATTACCCTGCACGAGCCACCGCCCCGCTTCTCCTTCCACCACTTTGTCTTGAGGATGTGCAGTTTTCCTTCTTCTTGGAGTTTGAGCACCGCGCCACTGATGGCAGTCCGGTACGGCGAGTCTGTAAAGGGACGGTATTTTACATGCGTTCGAACCTAAAAGTGAAGTTTGAAAACTCGTTGCGACTTACTGGGGGGCATGGCGATGCCGTAGCCCTTGGAGTCGAGAAGGCCTCCGATCTGCGTCAACTCGCAGTTCCGTTCGATGACGTACTCAATGGACGTGGACTCCATGAGGAAGGCGTAGTTGCCCTTGCCCTTCACCACGCGGTCCACGCCCTCCCCGTTGGATGACGTGAAGACGGACGGCCGGGCCGACTCCATGAAGGACCACATTCGCTGGTACGTCGAGAAGTTGGAATCCTGCAGCGGGGTTTGAGGGCTGAGTTTGCGGTGGGTGAGTTGAAAGGCTAGCTCAGGAACGCAGTGGTAGTTACCCTGAAGAAGGCTGCGGTTGAGCCCCCGCGAAGAGCGCCGTACTTGATCTTGGTCTGCTTGGCGAGGTCCTCTGCGCTCTCGATCGGCGAATCCATTCGCTCCACCGTAAGGAAAGCGGCCAGGTTGGCAGTGTAGGAGGAGATCATGATGAGGGTGAAGAACCACCACATGCCAGCCACCATTCGAGTCGACACGGCCCTGCACAGACAAAACGGAGGTTAAACACTTTCCGTAAGCACTGTACTTGTATTAGTGAGTCAATTCGCGGGCGAAAATAAAGACTGGGTCGAAAAAAGTTCCAATTATTCCATTAATGTAATAAATTTTATGAATACAGAGATTTTGTTGGGACAACCAACTGTTCGAGAAAATTAGTGCAAACCTTTTATTAAAATCATTCCGCCTCTCACTTACTTGGGGGCTATGCCTGAGCCCTGTTTGAGGATCGAGGCCACGTTGAACCACAGAGAGTTGACCAAGCCAAACTCTCTGTCTACTGAGTCTTTGGAGTTGTTGGGGTAACGCAACATGCTGCAACACAAGGAGAGAGACACGCAACACTTACTTGGGGGCAATGTCCGAACCCTGCTGCATGAGTGAACCAATGGTGAACCAAAGCGAGTTCATGAGGCTGAACTGGTTCTCTAGGATCTCCGGTTCGTCGTTGCAGGGGTGGGGGTTGTCCCATTCGTACGGGCTGAACCTGGGAACACACAGAGACAGCCCACATGCCAGCTATGCTCGCTAAGGAAGGACCTTGTTGGACCTCGTCTCAACAGTTCCACTGAAACGGCTGCGTTTCTGCGAAGACGAAGAAAACAATGCCTACGCAGTACTTCCAAAGGGGTGGCAAGGACGTCTACCTTTGACAGATGTAAAAATAGTCTTTTTGACAAAACTGCATTTTGAATGAACTCAAAAGTGAAATCCAACTTTCAACGAGTGGCAAGAGTAAAGCTGAGGGTGACCGCGAGCCGACCAATAACAAACAAAAAACGAGTCGGTAAGCAAAGGGTGGCGGTAGAATTTGAAAAATTTAGTGGGCTGTCTCCATTAACCCCCTAAGCCTGCTTCATGCAGCATTGAATGCACGGAGCAAAGAAGTTGAGATAGAGAGAGAGGAAGAAAACATGAAGAGTAAGAAAAATAAGAAAGTTCAACAATAACTTTGAATTGTGTGCAGAAAACAAAAGTGGTTTGAATATGTTCTGTGAAAATGTAAACTGCATCATTGTATTCTGTATTGGGGTATACGTGTTTGCTTTGACGCTCGTTAGATTCCTCGGCCATGTGGAAATGTCAAATATTTTTTCCACTGAAGCCATCAGAAGTAAAGAGCGTTATTTAGTGTTAACAAAAGTAAAAAGAGCCCTGGTCTGCCCTCAGCAAAGCAGGCCACTTGCAATTAAGAATTTTGGAAGGCAAAAAGAGTGTGCAGTCTATCAAGAGTAGAGAGTTCACCTTTCTGTGGAGAGTATCTTGTGAGATGCTTACCTGGCCAAGATGAAGAGGAGGACGGATACGCCCAGGTAAGCCGTTGCCATGTAGATCCACACATCCAGGGACAATGGGGACAGGAAGGAGAATAGGTTGGGAGGCTGTTTGATTGGCTTGCGGTACAAAATGCTAATTCCTGATGACAAAAGTTGATAAGTTTTAGTAAAACAATCGCGCATGTTTTTACTTTGTTTTTGTAAATAGGAAAATAACCACTTCGTACCCAAGTTCATGAATGGCATAGTAAAGTCCACTGCCTGCTCCCTGTCGTAGGTTATGGTTAAATCTGCTATGGCCACGTCAGCACGCTACAAAAAAGTAAACACATTGCTAAAAAAGAAGGCTAAGGCAAAATTATGTTGAAAAAGTGTTCCAAACACCAACCTGGTCAAGTAGCTCTCTCATCATGCCGTCCCACTCCTTTGTCTCCCTATTGAGCGACCCGTAGCGCCCATCTGGGACCAATTTGAACGTGTAATTGAAACCTAGTATCTTCGAGATCTCGTGGATCAAGTCGATTCCGTAGCCCTCGAACTGAGCATTGCCAGTCAGCATCGCACTTGAGTCTTTTCGCATACAATATGGGGAACTCTGCAAAAAATAAGCGATGATTGTAAGTCAAATTCCTCAAGAGAACAGGTCGGAAAACCAGGACCAGGTGCTTTACAAACCAGAATAGTTGTGACGATCATGGTTTTGTTGTGCAGGCTCTCCACGATCTGCGTGTACTCCTCCCCGTAGGTGCGGGTGAAGTTGACGCCCGACGTGGAGTTCCAGGTGCCGATCTTGCGCAGCCCCTCCCTGGAGAGGTCGATGATGTCCAGGACGAAGTTAGTGCGGAAGCCCTGGTTGTCGAACTTGATGGTGCCGGTGAGTCCCCGCATCTCCACCTGCAACCGCATGGTTACCACGCCACCGTCAGGAGGGGGAAGTGTGGAATAATGATAAAACACAATTGAGGTCAAGTCCATCGGCCTCTAAAAGGGCGCCTAAAAGGGCTGGAAGGGGGGTGCTCGGGGCGGGCCGCCCACGAGGGCCCGAAGGGCGGCGTTCGACGCGGCGCGGGGCGGCCTGGACCGTCCTGGCGGAGAGGGTGGTGGCGGCCCGCTTCGGACGCCCTCGCCCCAATCTATTCCCCCGGAGGCCCGCCGCGCCACGCCACGCCGTGCCGCGTCACGGGCGCCATCTTTCTCAAGTTGCCTCCGCTTGAAAGAGTCCCACTAACGATGTGACCGTAGGGCGCTGCAGCGAGAGCGATGCACAGCGGAGCGAATGCAGGTGCACAAAGCTCTTTCTGTCTCTCTCGCTCGAGAAAGGGGGCAGCACCGCACTCCGTGATTAACTCCCCAAAGCCGGCGAGTTCTCGCAGGGATGCCGCTCCGCGTTCCCTCCGCGAAGGGAAGAGAGAGAGAGAGAGAGAGAGAGAGAGAGAGAGAGAGAGAGAGAGAGAGAGAGAGAGAGAGAGAGAGAGAGAGAGACGCACCGCGTGCAGAGATCCGCCAGACATTTGATTAGAGCGAAGCACGAACCCGCCTCCCACTTACGCACTACCCTGCGCCCTCGTCGGCGCGCGAGAGAGACAACGCCTCCCTTTCCCTGCGTGCGAGAGAGACGGCGCGACGCACGTCATCCGACTGCATAATTAAGCAAGGCTGGTTGCGCTCCGCGCGAGTGGGCGTCTGTGTGCGCGTGTAAGGGTGTGTGTGCACATCCTGGCCAGATTTCTTTACTACAGCGGTACACAACGTCATGTGTTGCGTGTTCGCTCCAGGGGTTGCCATCACAGAGACAAGTTTCCCCACGTGTGTTTTTGGTGTTTTTTTTGGTTTCCCAAAGGGCGCCGAGGGTACGTACGATCTTCATGTAGTTGATGAGCGAGTAGCCGTGCGGCCAGGTGTCGTCCGAGTTGCAGGACAGGGGCTTGATGTCGATGCGCTGGCTGCTGTCCAGGTCGTGCAGCGCCTTCGCGAACAGGTGCACCGCGTCGTACATCAGCGCCGTCTCCGTCTGGAAAAAAGGACTCCATTTTGAAAGGCACTGCGCCATAACACAGTGAGCCAGTAGACCGGTGAAGGAAGTCAAAATTCCGGACGCGTGTTGAGCTCCAGAGCCACTGAATTAGACTCGAACCACGTGTGGCCCCACCACTGGATTGCACTCCAAATGAGGAATCCAGTGGTGGGGTCACACGTTCAGTTACAGTCCTGATTAGGGACTCTGGAGCTCAAAACGCGTCTAGGATTTTGGCCGACGGCGTCGGTCCTCTGGCCCACTGTGCGTTGAGCACTGAGAGCGTCAGCACAGTGCACCCACCTTGACCTTGGCGGCGTCCATGTCCAGCTTGCGGCCGTGCCGCGCCTCGCCCTGGATCCAGTCCTTGACGGCCTGCTGCACCTCGGGCTTCTCCGGGTCCACCAGGCGGAAGGCCGTGATGTTGGTGCCGCCGTACTTGAACTCCTCCAGGTCCACGCTGTGCAGGTCCTGGGCACAGTCACACAAGTCCATGACGTCGCGATTTGGATGTAAATAGGCCCAAACAAAAAGCCACTATGACAGGGCCAAATTTCCTGTCTTTGAACTATTTCAACTAAATGCAAAAGTAATGAAACAGTACTCAAGGAGTAAAGCAGGGAGGCCACTGTCGAAGTCTCACCAGCGAAGTGATGAGGTACGAGTGGTAGTCGCTCATCATGCCGATCTGCTGCGCCTGCTTGAGGACGTCGTAGAGCCGCTCGGTGGAGCAGTCCAGCACAATGTGGGACTCGGCCGAGTTCTTGATCTGCTTCAGCAGCGGCCTGCGACACCAGACAAACACTGTAGCAACAATCTTGCCGCGCCGCACTGTTTGTGGGAAGTATTACTCCGGCCGTCCCGAGGTCTGCAGGCCAAATATTAGCCAGGGCGGCGGGGTGGCGGGTGGCGGGGCGGGACCGCAGGCGTGCGGGGAGCCCCCGGTCTCTCTCTTCGAGTCAAACTGGCGAATCTGCCAGCGGACTCGCCGAAGCGGGCCGCTCCGCCGCCTCCGAGCGCCTGTCAACCAGAGGATAGGCACCCCGCCACGCGGCTGAGTCCACTCCAGCGCGGCTGGCCTACCGCCCGGGCGCTAGCTTCCAGCGTTCCAGTGTGCCTCGCAGGCTTCCAGGCGGGCGCCATAACCCGATTTGGCCGCCATTACCGCCGAGGTAAAAGGGAAATGACCGAGGCGGCGAAGGTCAACTCATTTCCGAAAAAGAATCTCTCCTCTCTCTTTTTTACCCCTCGCTTGACCTTTTTTTTCCCCCGTCTCAACGGCTGAATTCATCTCACGAAGGGAAATTGTCGTCCAAATGAGGGGAGTCGGCCGGACAAACTCCGTCAGCCCGGCAGACGTTGCCTGTCAAAAGTTTCTTCTCCGACGGCGACCGGACCGTCCAGGGGTCCCTCCTCGGGTCCCTCCCTCTCGGATGCCACGCCGGGTGATGTATGACAGCGAAAGCAAAGTCTGGCCGCAGTCTGGCCAAACATTACCGGCGCTGCCAAAGCAGGGGACCAAACAAAAAATATCCCGGGTCCAATTACTTCAAAAATTTCTGGCGTTTTTGTTGTTGTTTTTTAATCAGTCCCGCTGTTGCCTCTTTTGATTTCATGGTTTTGTTTCCAGTCGCAAAGTCGAGTAGCTCCAAGCACCTCCCCCGGGGCTCGGCTTGTTCTGCCTCATTTGGGTGCCGGCTGGAAAGCAACTCGTTTGTCCTTTGAGCTGCCGCCGTCTGTGTGGAGGGTTCTCAAACGCGCGCCCCGGCTCGCACCCTTTCCGTTCTTTGCTTTAGACACTGTATGGTGCTTGCGACCTGGGCTCGACAACCACCCTCCTTCGTTTTTTCCCGTTAGCGGTGGCTCTATGGTCCTTACGTTACTTACCGCCAGCCCCGCCCCACCGGCGTCCCCCAGGACCCTTGACCCGGGCGGGGGCGAGCGGGCACGTCCTGTGTAAGCACGTTACACGGAGCGGGGGCACGGAGTGGGGGCTCGGCTTCGGGGAGCAATGTTATGATGGAAGCTGGCAGATGGAAGTGGGCCGAAAGTTGCCGCCAGCAAGAACCGCGCGGCAAGTCGCAGGCCAAGGGGATGTTGACTCGAAGCACGGCGAAGCACGGCGCGGACCAAGTTGGACGCGAAGGTGGAACCGCTCGACTTTGTTCGAGACGCACAACAGACCGTCGCCGAGCAACAGTTTTATTAATGCCGCAGGGCAGTGTAGCGGCGGAGCGGCATCGAATCGAGGGCTGCTCCAATATGGGTGCAGGTGGGTGCCGTATGGCGTGGCCCGCCCAGAAAAAAAGAGACAGCCATTGATTTATGCAAGACCCGCCTGCCTTTGTGCAGCGAGACACAGAGACAGGTGCTGTTCCACTCCACTTGGAATTTTCTGCAAAAATATTATTCCGACTGTTTCGGTGATTTTGCAGGGTGCGGCGGGGGTCTGATGATTCAGATAAACAGACTCGTAAAACTAGTCCCCCCTCCCACGTGCGGACGAGTCCGGGCGACTCGCAGTGTCGTAAACCGGAGACGCGAGCTGCGCGAACACAAACGCGGCCGGATGGATCGGCGAAGGACGCGAAGGAGGCATCGCTTCCGGCGCCCGCTTTGCGTGTGCGGCCATTTCATCAGGCAGGCAAGCATGGACGCGAGCAGTGGGCAGAGGGGGGGGGGGGGGGCATGCAGTTGGCGGTTGCGTTACTTATTTTCAATTCGGGTCGACCGCACATTACACAGACAACGGGTCTCATCGCAATAAACGGCGTGGCGCGCTGCTTCGCGCTGCTTGCCCGGCGGAATCGATACCCGGCGCTACGCGGCTCTCCGGCAGTTTGGCGCGTGGCCAGAGAATGACCCCGCAGGGTGTGGGCGTGCGTGCGAGAGAGAGAGAGAGAGAGAGAGAGAGAGAGAGAGAGAGAGAGAGAGAGAGAGAGAGAGAGAGAGAGAGAGAGAGAGAGAAAAGGTAGGGGAAGGGGCCGTTCTAATGGATGGTGATGACGGCGGTGCGGGACTCGGAGGATTTCATCATGTCCAAAGATGTCGTTCGCGATAATGGAAGTCAAGTGCGACGCTGGAAAGTTGCTGCAAGGGGGGGGGGCGATGGCTTTATTAGAGCCACGGGCGCGTGGGCGCGCACACACTCCTACCCTCCATCTGAAAAATGACCGCACACTTTTTGAATCGGTCGCGTCATCCTCAGCCTTCCCTTCTCTCTCTCTCTCTCTCTCTCTCTCTCTCTCTCTCTCTCTCTCTCTCTCTCTCTCTCTCTCCCCACGCGAGACGGGCGGCTCCTTGCTGCTTCCGATCGATGTGCATGTTGCGCTGGTGGCGTGCTGCCAGGCGTGCTGCCATGCGAATTGAGGGTGATGACAGCGCACAGTGCGACCGGCCGCACTGGCCAGCTCAGCCAGCTCAGCCAGCACAGCGCTGGACTAACTAACTGTCCCTCTGGGAGCAACAGTGCTAGAGCAAGAGTCATGACTTTGCCTTCGTGTTTGGCACGAGACCCCCGAGTGACCCTTAGGGCGTCATTGGACAGACCGCCAGGGCGGCAAAGCAAAACCGAGTAAACTTTCTTTTTTCTGAAGCTGACTCGATTAATTGAATGGTGCGTACCGGTAGTCGTTGCCGTCGCCGAGCTGGCGCACTGCGATGGGGAACTCGGACGGGCCGTGCGCCTTGAGCAGGTCCTGGATGCGCACCAGGCCCTCGTTGTTCTCGTAGATGATGGTGAAGGTCCGCCAACCCCAGGCCCGGACGATGTCCACGTACGCCTGGAGCCATGCATTCATTAGTCTGGTAACTTTTGGAGCGTGATGGATGCGCAAAAGAGTGGCTGCTCACCTTGGACAGGGCGCTGGGGTGGGGGTAGAGGTTCACCAAGCACGACTCCCTCCTGATCCTGAAGTCCCACCGCGTCTCGAGGTGCGGCACCTCCATCGTGTCGCAGATGGACTGCACATGGCTGGCGGTCTGGCCCGACTGCGGGCCGAAGATGGCCGCCACTCCGGACTGCAGCAGGTGGCACACTGCGAGGGCAACAAAGAGTTTCACAGTGTGCACTCATTCTACCTGCCCGGCAAAATACGAGTGGTCCACTTTATGGCGAGACCGCGAAATGAAATTATGAGGAGCGAGGTCCGGGGTTCTGGAGATTGCCCTTGCGGGAGGCGTTGCCGAGCCGCGCCGAGGCGAGGCTGGCTAACAAAGTTACAGTTCACGAGATGCCGCCATGACCCCAGGCCGCCCCAGGCCGCCCCGGCCAGGCCACGCGGGAGGTGTTCGGTGGCTTGTTTAAGGCGTGTCTCGTCGGAAGCTTTCTGCTCCACAAAAAAAAAATCCCGACCTGTTTCCTTGATGAAGAGGAACAGCCTTTATGATAGCAAGTCTCTAAAAGTACCCTTAACCTGCAATACTCGGGTGTGTCTGCTGAGCGAAAGCTTCTCCCCACCGGTTGAACGCGATTTCCCCGCTGCCGACCGCCAATTGCAGCGCGAACTCGAGTAAATTTTGCGGTGCTGTGAATTCTGCCAGACCATCCAGGAATCCCGAGAGGTCTGAGGCTGGCCCTCCGGGCGGCATTGGGTCAAGAGAAGCACTAGATCAAGACTGCCGGTTTTCCGCTTCTGCCGTCTGTCTCCAGACTGATTCCGAGGGTCGTCGCTTTGTCTCTCTCGCACCTCAAAGGGGCGCCCTCGGAGTGCGAGAGAGACGGGGCGGCGAAAACGACTCTCGGAATCAGTCTGCTGTTTCGTTTGGTTGCCAAGTCCTCCTGCCGGAGAGGGCTTCCGCGAAAAAGGACGGAGACGCTCTGCCGGAAGTGGCGAGCGACAAGGACGGAAGCAATTTAAGGGCATGCCGGCGAGGCTGGCTTCATCCCCACCTGCATTCTGCAGGACGAGGGAGAGAGACAGAGGACTCCGTCTGCGCCATCGTTTCCTTTCTCCCCAACCAGGAGTCTGCTCACTTTTATCACGAAAAAAAAATATAAGCGTGCCGGGGGATCTGTCTGAAATTTTTTGCTTGACTTGGGGACTGAAACTGTATCTTTACCCGATCTGACTTGACACCTTTTCGACAGTGCAGGCCGCGCTAGCTGCGCTGGCTGCGCCAGGCCCCCGAGACAGGCACCACTCACCGCTCTTGGACGCTCTGAAGGAGTCCTGCGGGGATATCTTCTCGATCTGCCCCGAGAGGCGGGCCCGGGGCAGCAGCGTCCGATCGGCATTAATGCGCTCCACGGCATAGCGGAAGGCCACCTCCTGGGTGTCGTCGGCCGGATGGAACAGCCCGCCTGCAACAACATTTTGTGAACAATTCCTGTAGAAAAATAAAGCATTGTGGCAGTGGAAGAAAAAAAATTTCGGGCGAAAGTGTATATACGCTCCGTTATTTTCTATTTCTTTTTAAAGTAAAGGCCCTTGAAAAAAGTTGATCATAGGAGGAAAAAGTAAAATGAAAACTAGGTTCTTTTTCTTCCACCCGAAAGCTCCTCTGAACACGGTTAACTTTTCCGAAGATTTAGGCCAACGCTCCCGATTCCGGCCCGTTTGGCCCGGGGGGGCGAAAATTTCCCCGTTTTCCTTTTCCTAAACCCGGGGGTTTTGGCGCTTTGCAGTTTTCCCGGCGGGCGGGAAAGTTGGGGCCCTCGGCCGGAAGGTCCGGGGGGCCCAAACGCCCAATTTTGCCCGTTCGCCCGGAGCTTTCAATGCCCCATTTTCCCCGGGGGAAGGTGGAAACCCCCCCGGCCCTTTCTGGATCGGCAGCCCCGTGGAATCGAAAGCCAAAAGCCCCCCGACAGCTTTTGTTTCCATGGGGCCCACCGGGGCCCTGGGCGCAATTCGACAGAAGGGACTATTGGGGTGGCCCCCAATGGCGCGGTTTTTTTTGGACAGGGGGGCCCGACCCCAAGGTTACCAGAGGGGCACTTGGGGTTTTTAACCCCCCCCCGGTTTTCCACAATAAAATTTTACCCGACCGCTCAGCCCCGAACCGCTTCCGGGAAAGTGCAAATCCCCTTTTGGGGGCCGTTTTGAAACGGCCGAAAAAGGGTATGAGGTCTCGAACCCCCGGGGCCGCCGCTCCCCACAGCTTTAACCCTGGCCAAGGGGAATTTGGGACCCCCCGGGGCGCGGTCCCAAACTTTGTGGGACCCCAAGGCGCCCCAAAAAGGGAACCCCGGGGAAACCCCCGGGGCCCCCCCCGCGACAGCTCACCGGGGGCCCCCGGGACGCCAGGGACCCCCCCTGCCGGCAGGTCCCTCCGTGGAAACCCCCCAACAAGGGAAAAATCGGCCCATGGTGTCCCATGGCGTCATGACTCATGGGATGCTCCATGGTTCTTTTGGCGTTTTGGGCCCGCCGAGATCTTTCCAGGACCGAGAGCCCCAAACATTCCGAACCGTCCTGGAAACGGGTGACAAACGTCGCCAATGACACCCGTTTCCAGGACCAAACGGCAAACTGGTTGAATTTCGCCACTCCCGTCCTGGAAACGGGTGTCCGGCTACCTCAGGGACGCGTTACGGCCCTGAATCTTTCAGGACCAAGTCTAACCGTGAACTGAAGTCCTTTATCAGTTTTGCCGAGGTACACGATCACCATCACGGCCACGCTGCCCCGAATTCCCGCTGTTTGTTTGCCGGAAAAGCGATTCTCTGGCCATCCATCTATCCATCTATCGCGGGCCTTTGTGTCTTTGCATAAAGCTTGGCTGCAGCGTCGTCATGATTCAGCGCGGCCCTCGCAGTGCCGCAGGGCTGCCAACCACAGCGCTCCACTTTTCACGGCCCTGTCAGTCCGAGGCCGACGCGCTGCAGGTTGCCTGCACTGCGGCGGCGGGAGTCATCGGCTGGAAACGCGCCGCCGCCGTCTCTCTCGCACTCGGACGCAGCGCCCCGTGAGTGCGAGAGAGACAGAGCGACGACAGCTTTTGTTTCCGAGTGTGTTGCTCCGCAGCGGAAGCGCGACGTGGAGCGCACTCAGACAGACAGGGCCGCCAACTTGCGCGCAGTTGGCGCCAAAACTTGGGCAGGTGGCATGCAAATGCAGGGCGGGGCGGGGCACGCCCGCAAGTTGGCAACACGACGACGCTACTCGCGCGGTTAAACACGCCTGTTTACATCACACAATGAAAATCAACCACGGCCAAGCTCGTCACGCGGCTAAACGCCCCGGAATGTGTGCGCGCGTCTTTCCGCGCGGCGGCGTAGAACGGGGGCGGAGAGCAGAGGCAGTTTAAAGTTATGATGGAGTCTGCGAACAGCGTCGCGCCGCTGCACGCCAGTTTCACCACCTCGTCGTGCAAGTTGTTGGATTAGGTTCACCTCTCCGGCGAACGCTCGACTCACCTATCCTGATGACGTCGGGCAGGGCCTGCACGGCGGACAGCAGGAAGGCGACCCCGAGGGACCAGAGCGGCGCCCAGCCCGCGCAGCGCATCGCGGAGGCACGCACAGCCACGCACAGCTGCGGCAGTCTTCACGGTCCAGGGTGGCGGCAGGCCCGGGCCCCACGAGTCGCATCACACCGCAGCGCCTCTGCGGGACAGAGAGAGAAAACACTGTTAATGTCATTGCATTAGCGTTGGCAGCGAAAGAGGGAGTCGGCGGCCTTTGAACTGCAGGGCGTGGGACTCGCTTTGCGCCCCCCTCCCCCCCAAAAAAAAATCCACCAGCGACGGACACGTGTCAAAATAATTTTGGTGCAAAACCTTGAAGTTCAGTTTTACGTTTGGATAACTCATGTTTGAGCAGCTAAATGGCCAGAAGAGTCTCCATTTAGAGCTGGCAGAGTCAAATGCTGAGAAAAAAAAAACTGACGGAAATCGGAGTGTGTAGACCAGAATATGACCCCTTGTGTGAGGTGCTTTTTTTCCTGTTCTTCCGCTCCCCTGATTTCATACGGTAGTTCGCAGCACCGACCTGCGTCGACGCCGTCTGCACGCCCGCCGTGCTTACTGGCTTTTCAAACTCAATTATCCCGGCGCAACTCAGCAGGCGCTCTTCGGTTCTCTTTTTCCCGCGGGACGCAGAACTAACTTGGCGCCAAAGTCACGGGGAGCTGCTGCGTGCACGCCGTGCCGTAATGCGCTCTTTTTCCTCGTGTCGTGTTTTTCGCCAGACAGCTCGCGCATTCGTCCCATTAGCGCGGTTTCCGGCGCCTTCTAATGCATTTGCAGAAATTGGGGCGGACGATCAGAATGCAGTCGTCTGCGTGGAGTGGTGTGGAACGGCAGGCACCGTGCCATTAGGAGCTGTCATGGCGAAGTGCACACTGGAAAAATTTCTCTGGGCGTTCCCCAAGGGGATATCACTGTCAATATTTCGGTGTACAGTTCCAATGAATTTCCAGTCAAATTTCGATTAATTTCAGTCGAATTTCGATCAAAATTCAATGAACGGTTGGACATTGAAGAGGAATAGTATTGTGGATCAAACAAAGTGAAAACGGCTGCCCTGCCTCTTTTCTGTGACTGTACGGAAAATCAATCTGCAGGGAGTGACGCAGGGGAGACTCGTTACAGCGATCCTACACTGCTAAACGTGGAGGGTGCTCGTGCCCGGCGGTCGCGGCATTGCCTTGGCATTGCTGTGCGTGCGTTCGCGCGCGTTCGCACCGTCCCAGGGGCATCACACCCCGTCGTGTCACCAGGGCCGGCTGGGCCGGCGAGCACGGGGCAATAGGCCTCCGCCACTGGCCGATGGGAATCGGGCTGATGAAATTGCCGCCCGGCACCGCACCCTAAAAGGATAATGAAGGGCAGAAGGGACGCAATGAAAACACGACGGCGAGGTCATGGAAATGAAAAAGGCAATTCCAGGGAAATTCGATAAAACTAATAAAGTTGACGCGAGTGGACGCATGAGAACAGCGACACAGAAAAATTTCAGCTCTCTTCTTGACGCTTCCGAGAGATTCAGAAAAGTGGTTCTGTCTCTCTCGCACCCACGCGGAGAGCCCCACGAGTGCGACAGAGACAGAGCGACGAAGCGACCTTCGGAATCGCTCGGCAGTCGGGATCACGTCGCGGGAACCCTTGCACGCATTATGCAGGCTCGGCTGCGCCATGGCTGCGCCCCGCGCACACACTACGAGTGGCGCGCTGTCTCTCTCGCACCCGCGGGGCGTCCCGAAGGGGTGGGAGAGAGACGGGGCGTCCCGAAGGGCTGGTGCAGGGGGCGGCTGCTCCGCGCGACTGCGACCGCGGTGGTTCTTGCCGCGCCTCAGGCTTAGTTTGCGCAGACTGGCGCCTGCTCGCCTCGCCTCGCCTGCACTGCCAGACTGGCTGCGGGTCCGGAGAGGATTCCAATCCCACTCGTGATCGCAAAAAGCTTCTGATGCGGTCTGGCGGGAGGGAACAATCTCGCCCGACGTTCGCTCCGTAATTGTCTCGCTCCCCAGACGACTCCCAGCGAGCCAAACTCGAGCGCGGCCTCCATTTTCCCGCCACGTTTGGAATTTGGCCGTTCTGTGCCCAATGCCACTGCACTGGACTGGGGTGTAACGGAGCTTGGACTAATGGCGGCCGGGTGCAATGATAATGAGACAAGGCGGCGGTCGTCTGTTAGATCGATCCATCGACCCATCCATCACTGCTTGACAAACGAAAGGGTTGGCTTGGCGCGCGGCCCACAAAAACACCATGCACGGGAGATTCCGGCGGGAACAACGGCCATTCAAATGAGCGTCGGAAAAACAGGCGGCGGCGCTCTTCGTGGGGGATTGTGGGCGTAACTCCCGCGTCAGTAGATCATCCGGGGGAGCGACCGTCCGAGTGAGGTCCGTCCCGCACTAAACGTCGCCACCACAGCGGCTGTCTGTCCGGAGTTCAGTCCAGAACCGCGACGACAGAAAAAAACCAACCCCTCGATCGCCTGCCCGAGTGCTTGCAAACTTCATTGTTTCGCCGGAAAAGCGTTTTTGATTTTGCCCCGGGTCGAACAGCTGCTGCTGTTGGAGAAATGATTCATAAAGCTTCGCAGAGTGTTTTCGTTTTCCCTCCCATGGCTGGGACAATTAATTTTCCAGTGAGGTCACAAGTTATCCGTGCAGCGCGAAGCGGGAACGGTTGCCCGCTGTTTCACCGTTCCCACTGGATTCGAAGAAAGGGCATCCGACCGGAACGGTTGCTGCACTGTGCTGTGCTGCGCTGTGCTGGAAGGATAGCAGACGATGCTCCGTGTAGCAGGTGCCCACAGGGCCCCGGGATGAAACTTTAATGATCTGATAGCGGCGTTCCCTTCGGAACATATCGAAGTGGTCACGTAGCGAACTAAGTTTCCCTGGCAAGAGGGGGATATCGCATCGCTGCTCTTGGGAGAACCAGACGAAAAGTGTTGCCAGGGCGACACAATTTGTTCCCCTCTATGAAAGAGCTCGCGTGTGGCACCGCGCTGCTTTTGTCCGTCTCCCGTTCGCCGCCGCCTCATAGAACCCTTCCGCAAACTGGAGTAGTGTTTGGCGCAAACCGCAACTCGCGAACTCCCTCCGCATCGTGCGCACTGTGAAGTTGGACCGCACTCCGGGGCGTGATGGAAAGAGGGCTTCGCGAGGACCGGCGCGGCGGGCCAAACTCGAACGGGGCGGGGCTGCCACACTGCATAACCAGGCGGGGCTGAGTGACGGCGTCGACCGTTTCACACCTCCACGGAGCCTTGTCCGCAGCCCGGAAGTTAGTTGGCGAGCCACGCAGCCCCAGGCACAGCCCAGACAGCGCGTCGCACCTCGAAGGCCTCGACGCTTTTCTGGCCCACGACTTTCCCAAGTTAAAACAACTTCCTTTCCAATTTTTAACTCTTGGCGCGCTGTTATGATGGCGCCTTTCCCAGTGCACTGCCCCTGCGGCCTTTGCGGCAAGGCTTTGCCGTGTCTCATTGACTTCTCGATAGAAGTCGCCAAGTTTGCCGCCAACTTCCCTCTCCCTCCACTGCACTGCCAGTACGCGGCACGACGTGGCCGACCGCCCTCTATCCTCTGTCCCTATCGCACTTGGAAGGAAGATGGACCGGGATAGAAACAGAAAACGCTTATTGGGTTCCCGTTTCGGCGTCTGGGGCGGTCTGGGGTGCTGTGGTGTGGAGCACTGGTCAAGACACTGTGAACCCAGCGGAGCGCTTTGCGTTCTTTCCCGGAGCGTGTTTCTGCAGGCTGCTCGCCGTGCAAGGTGTCCCTTCCCAGCTGCTGCCGATCGAATACATGTGCCCAGAGCACTGAACGCAGATGGCCGCGGACAAGGCATTGTCGCACGTAATCCTGGCCTTTGTGCAAATTAGAGTGAGTTATTACCATAACACAACAGCATACTAATGGAATACGTGCTTCCGTTTGCACGCACGACGCGCCCGTTTAAAAAGGCGACAAATTCGCCTTTGTTTGTGCAGCTGCACCTCCACCATAAATCGAAACGCGTTTCGAGACTCGACAACGCCATGCTTAATGGCGCAGTGCCGAGCAAGTCCTGCTCCCAGCGCAAACACCGACCGAATCAAAAGCCGGAGGCGCGAATAGGACGCGGCCCGAAAAGCCCCGAGCGGGGCGCGCCCGGGGGCGGGGCGGGGCGGGGTGGCGCGGCGGGGGCAATGCCTGGTGGGAGGCAGGACGGTGGGCCGGGCCGGGCCGCCGGGCCGTGGCGGGGTGGAGGACCCTGCCCGCCGACTCGGCCGAGTCTGCACCAACAGTGTGGAGCTCTGATATTGAGCGCGGCCGAGCCGGGGACCGGCACGGCGGCACAGCGGCACGGCGACGGGGGGAGAGCGAGCGGCGGAGAGGGGGAGCGGGGCGCACACTGGGGGAGGGAGGACCACGGAGGACCGGGGAGGACGGAGGGAGGCGGGTCCGAGAAGGACAGGGACAGCCTCGCTCTTGCTGGCGGGGAGACGGAGAGGGAGCGAAGCGGGGGAGCGAAATTTACGAATATGATTCGGATGAAGCGAACGGAGGGCGAAGGGGATCACAGTGCGGGCCCCGAACAGTTCGGCAACCCAAGTCTTATCGACGCCTTGGAAACGGACCGCTGCTGATTCAGGTGCGGTACATCGCGCACTGTCTTACGATCGGAGGGCCCTGCCACCGCCAGCCACCTCGGAAGGCTTTTCCGGCTCGCCCCGCCGCCACCAGACTGCTAGCAAATTGTCACTCGTGACAAAAAAAAAATAGTCGTTCTAAAGTCACCTGGCTGTTGAACATCTTTTTTAAACGCCAAGAACTCTCTTAAATGTCGTAAGAAGAGATAAACCGCACTGTAATGCAAATGGGGTGGGAAACTAGGAAACAAAGCTTTCAGCCAGTGGCTGAGTTGATGAAGTGTTGTTTGTGCAAACTGGTACAGGGCTGCTCTCCGGGGGCAAACCTGATCCTGACTGATGATCTCAAACAGTGGCTGGCTCCAGGATCGGTTCACCTCCTGCCCCCGGCGAGGCCTGGAGCCGCCTGGAGTCCTGGAGTCCTGGAGCCGGGTCCCAGGCAGTCTCTCAATAAAGGTAGTTTCGATAAAGGAGAAGCAAAGCACACCGGGAGCGCCAACTCGGGAGCAACAGCTGTGACAACCCCCACCCCCACGCGGTCAGATGCAAACGACCCCCAATATGCAATATGCAGGTGTCTTGATTTGCATGTGGACCGGGCCAGATTACTCCGACACCGCGTTCTCAGCAGTCCAACTTTTCCCTCTGTTGGGGAAAAAGGGGGAAGGGGGCGAGAAACCGACTCGAGACTGCGAGACCAAAAATAACGTCCCGTTGACTCAGTGAGTGGAAAGGGAGGAGAAAAATTGGTGGCAGTGTCGCCGACGGGATTGCCCGGAGGAAATACCCGGAAAGGTTCGAGTCACAGAAGCCGTGAAAGAGGCAGTGCTGTGGGGAGCCTCGCGGGCCGGCCGGATCGGAGGCACGACAAACACCTGGGAGGGACCCAACCCACTTCTCCAGCCCACAGAGGCCGTTGGGGACGGTACCACACTGTGGAGGCTTCCAGCACGGCGTTGTGGTCAGGTACCGTGGTAGCCCTGCCCCCTCGGTTGGGTCCACTGTTGTTGCAACATTTCCGCGTTGCAGACCGTTGGAAAGTGCTCCGGGCTGCGACTGCCGCTTTATGAAGACCGAGGCAAATTGAGTTAAAGGTGAGTTTGGAGGGGGAAAGCACGCATCGTAATCTCTTCCTCGTTCTGACCCGTGTCCGTAATTGAATGCTGAGCGCAACCAGAGGCGAGCTCCTGCTCTCGTCGTTCCACCTAGCCGGCCTTGAACCCATATTTCATTCTTTATCCCGCTTTGTTATGCAAAGTCGAGTGAAGAGGCCAAAGTGGCGCGGCCTGGCAGGTCTGGGCGGTCTGGGCGCACTGCGGCAGCGAACCACAACACAACGAGGAAAAGAGAGATGTTCTAGTGTCCCAGTGGGAGGCGACGGCAGGTTGCTCGCCCTGTTTTTGCGCCACTCCAACGGTCACGCGGAACCAGGGCCGCCAACACCAACACGAGGAATTTTCAACTTCCCCGTAGCAAGAAGGCACAAAGTAATGTTTATTGAGAAGCCAATTTTGCATCGCTTCTTGCACAGCAACCGAGGAAGAACGTAATCCAGTTTCTTGTTTGCAAAAGCCGCGAGACCGAGGAACTTGTTCCAAAAAAAGGACGCGATGGTCAAGGCATGCGCTGTGCGGCTACAAATGACAGGATTTGGCCAAGGAGTCTCCAGATACAAAAGAGATTCCCCCATCCTCCTCCTGCAGCCCGACAGAGATAGATGGAGCGGGCCGAAATGAAAACGAGAGACGCGGTCCGAAACAGCCCGGCCCGGCCGGTGGCCAGGTGTAGGCGGTCCCGGCCCAACAATGGGGTCAAGGAATTCATTTTGCCGCCATTGCAATTGTTAGCGTCCTCTTGGAACAATGGGGGCGTTCTCGGGGCTCCGCGGCCTCCCTTTCCACGCTTACTAGCCAGTATTAATTATGGTTTGAGATACACATCGGGCTTAAGAGACTCAACCCCGCACTTTTCGGGGGAGTGTGGCGAGAATTTGGTAATGCCGCCAGAGGACGCCGCCTGCGAGGTAGGCAGTGCGACGACACAGGTGTCCGCGAGTGGCCTATGCTCCAGGCGTTTGCCACGACTCGCTGACGCTGCCACGCGGCCAGGCAGCCAGGCGGAGAGGCGAGCCGGTGTTCCCCCTTCGCCAGCCCTGCACGGTGGAGCGCCGCCGCATCCTTCTGCCAAGTTGGTCAGAAAGTTAGTTTCACCTCCATAAAGCCCAACTTTATCCAGTTCGTATGGCGCGAAGAGCGACTCGGCGCTTGACAAGGAGATATGCTGTTGCGCGGGGCTGTCGCACCGCCGGTGTCCCGACACTACTGTGTTCCAGCGGGACGGGCTGGCAAGGGCCCGCGCCGACGAAACGGCGCCGGAAAAGCCACCCGCGGGAAAAATCGGAAAAGCAGAAAACGGTACCGGGGAAACGGCATCGGGAAAATGGAACCAGGGAAATCCTCGCCTGCACTATTTCCAGCTACTCCGTGACGGACGCCCAGATTTTCCACTCGACCGCACCCACCAAATCGGCGCTATCGAGGGTCGCGCCGTCCACCGCTCCACCAATGTGTCATGCGCTAAGTGTGCGAGGCGCGCGATGGATTCGGCCGGAAGTCGCTTTTTATAGCTTCCCCGCGCGTGATGGACGGCTGGCGGCAAAAAAAATAAAAATGGAGAGCACTAGCAGCCGACTGGAACGGCGAGAATCGAACCGGGCAACGGCCGCTTTGGGGAGCTCACTGGAGGCTGCGAGAACCGCGGTAGGGTTGTTGGGGTAACGGAGGGGAAACTAGTCATCTTCGACCAGAAACCCTCGCAAGTAGGACTTAAATTAGTGAAAGCTGCGGGGCGGGAACTTCATTAACTGCACCAACGACGTTTCAACAAACGGAAGTAAAAATGGCATGGTGCAAAGTTTGCTGTGCAACTTGAGTTGATGACGTCATTTCCAGTCACCACATTTCCCCTGACAGCCTACCGGCCGCAGCCTCGCGGTTCTCGTCGGGCACGCCGGTCTGCGGAGCGGTTCCGAAGGGTGCCTTTGTCTCTCCGTCTCTCTCGCACCCCTGCGGGACGCCCCGCGAGTGCGACAGAGACAGAGCGGCGGAACGACGCGGCCCCGACTTTGGGAAACTCCACTCCGCTCCACAGCCGGAACAAAATAGTTGGCACCTTGTTAGACATGTTGCGCGGCCGCGTCGCCGCGTCGCCGCGTCACCGGGACGCCAGGCCGAGGCCGGGCCGAGGCCAGGCACCTTGTTAGACATGTTGCGCGGCCGCGTCGCCGCGTCGCCGCGTCACCGGGACGCCAGGCCGAGGCCGGGCCGAGGCCAGGCACCCCGCGCCATTGACGGACGACTCCGCGGAGCTTCACGCCAAACTGTTGCGTGGCGGAGACGCCAGAGCGCGCCACAGTCACCAAACCGACGGCCAAATCGCGCGTCATCGGTTCGCGAAGCATAAATCAGCTCGGCGGCGGTGGCGTGGCGGCCCGGGACAGGACGCCACCGCGGCCGCGCCAACGACCTCGCCGACGGCCACCTTGGAGGCGATGCAATATTTACCGCGGGTACGCAGGGCTGGCCAGGCGGGGCAGGGCGGCGCGGGGGCGCGCAGACAATGGCTTGTTTGGGTCCAGGACTTCCAGGCTGGGCGGGCGGAGCGGAGGGGCCTGCACTGCTCGCCCCGGCTCGGCACACTGAGGGAGCCAGCAGCCCCTCCAGCGAGGCAGCGCGGCAGCGCGGCACCAGCGCCACCCACCGTACCCAGCATCCCCCGCGAGCGCAAAAGGGAGAGAGAGAGAGAGAGAGAGAGAGAGAGAGAGAGAGAGAGAGAGAGAGAGAGAGAGAGAGAGAGAGAGAGAGAGAGCCACCCCCACGGCAGCCCGGCGCGGCCCGCCCGGTCCATCCCTCTACGGCCAAGATGTATCTCGAGCGCCGTCAACGCGCACTGTAACGTAGCAGACTTTTCCACAAAAATACCGCTACCAGCGCTTAGCTTTCTTACCTTCCAATTCAAACTGATCCATTCCGCTGTCGTTTCCCGCTTCTAGAAGTAGTCTTGCTTCCTTGCACCGCAGCTCTCATGCCGTTCCAGCGCGGCGGGCAAGGTTTGGTGCTGTATCTAGGAGGGTGTGCTCGACTACGCGGTGCAGCCTACTTCAGGGCCGAGGGGCCCCCATCCCCACAGTGCACTGCACGCATGCTGCACGCAGGGTCCTGGTGGGCCGCGGGCCGTCTTCAGTAACAGTACACCTTGGTGTCGCGGTGCTCCGTCTTGACCACCTTGTCGCGGCAGCGCACCGTGATGTCCTCGGAGAACTCGAACAAGATGGTAGCTTCGTCGTCGTCCTCGGCGGCCGGTGGCGGCGGCGGCGGTGCCACGACGTCGTCCTCGGGCACGGCGGCGGCGTCCGGGACCGCGGCCACGTCCGGCACGGCCTGCACCTCCTCCTCGAGCGCCGGCATCACCACCACGTCGTCGTCCTGGGTGGCGGCCTCGGCCTCATCGGCGGCGGCCTCGTCCGCGGCGAAGCACAACAGCAGCAGCACGGCGAGCAGGGTCGCGGAGGCCATCCTGTCACAGCCACACGCTCGAGTTGCGGCTCGTCACGAAGACGACGATGGCGTACGTCACGAGGAACAGGAACATGAGGAAGAGGTGGAAGCGCTCGAGGCGCGGCAGCGCCGCGGCCATCGTGGGAACTAACTCAAATGGTGACGGCGTAGGACGCGAAGAGGCGCGCCGCCAGCACGGCGTAGAACAGCACCACCACACAGGTCGTGGCGAACAGCAGCGAGCGCAGCGACACGTTGCACATCGTGGAGGCCCTGACCTCACCCCACCCTATCGGCGCCCTTGCGGTGGCGTGCAGGTACAGCCGCCGCAGACAGTGTGGCGCCTCAAGAGCCTGCCGGGGGACACCGGCTCGGCGGGGAGCTCAGGCGGGTGCGGCGCGGCGGTCAGCGGACGCACTCCTAGGCACTGCGAAGCGCGGTCGCCCAACCAACTGGGTTGAACTGGGTTCAGGTGCGGCCGGACCCGCACCGCGGTGGCGCGGCCTGGGCCGTGGCCTGGGCCTGGGCCTGGGCCTGGGCCCTGCTCGGACTGTCCTGTAATCCGGGAAGCCCCACGACTCGCGCTGTCAATACACTCTGACCCTTGCGGCCCCAGCCGGCTGCAGCCCCAGGCCCTTGCGGTGGAGGAGGACGGGTCGAAGGGAGCGCTCATCTCGGCGGCCGGGGCGGCCAGGACGGCCAGGATGCAATATGCAGGGCTTTGTTCACGACCCGGCTCCTCCCGGCTTTCCCACTGTCCAGCAAGACTCGGTGGCTGGACCAAGCAGCGCGTTCGAGTTTCATTCGTCGACAGGCAACGCTATAGTGGTGAAAGACTGTGTTTTCGGGACAGGCAAAGTAACGCACGCACGCTTCTTTAATTAATTTAGCTTCAGCCAGTGGACAAGCCGCTGAAATCCTCCTGAGTACGCCTTGCGTAACGCCCTATACTCTGACCAGAAAACGAAGAGCCCACCTCACGTCAGGCTACCTGAAATGCAAGCGACGGCGGAGATGGGGGCCATAAAGTCGCGGAAAGGGTGAGGGCCCTTCGTTGCTAATGGCCAAGTTTTCGACCCCCCCACGGAACGGGACGGGAACGATATGCAGGCCCAATCACTGGTTTCCCTGAAATGCAAGGCGCGGCGGAACGGGGGTCAACCGGCGGGGGGATTTTAGAAACGCCGGATCTTTTTGCGTCCTCTGCGGGTTAGGCCGGGACTGGCCCAAATTTGTCGGCCGGTCACCCAATCGCGACTCGGTGTGGGGATTTCGGGAACGATATGCTTGGAAAGGGTGCCGAACAACGCGTCCGGGGGCAACGGCTGGGGGCAAAAAAAGCGGGCCGCACATTTAGAGCCTCCCGATTTTCGGTCCACTGCGGGCAATTTGATCGTGGCACTGCGAACACGGCCGCGGGCTTGCTCGGCTGTAACCAACTTTGGCGGTGTCAAGGGGTGTCGCTAGGAAGGGCGGACGTACCCCTGGTGCCGCGGCCGAGGCCGACGCTGGAGCACAGGGTTCACCAATGTTTTTCGGGCCACTGCATTCCCCTTTCGCTAACGGGGGACATTTGCCCACGGAACCGCGGAAGCCGGTTGGCCAACTGCAGGGGGTGTCAGGGCCGTCCGCACCAGAGAGGGGTGCGAACCTCCCCCTCCGCCGCCCCCGCCGGCCCCCCACCGATGCCCCGCCGGCAATGGACGCAATATTGCGCGTTTCAAACCAATTTTTTTTTTTCCCCCCGGCAGACGTGATTCCTTTTCAAAACATTTCGGGGGGAGAGACCTTCCGGATGAACCCGTTTGGAAGCCGTGTTGGCGCATGAGCTCGCGAGCGTGTCGTATCAGGCGCCGCCCACACCAGTGCACTGGCTGCCTGCGCCAAGCCTCCCCCCCCCCCCCCCCCCCGACTTTGCAACCCCACCACCGTATGCCTCAGCAGCGTCCTGGCGTGGTAATGGTAGGCAAATACTTTCTGTTTGAGAAAAGAAAAAAGTTTTTTATTTACATTCTCACACCCGGCAGAGCGTCAGATTGTTTTCAAATGCATTTCCGGGGGCTTGACGACGACCTCCAGGATGAAGGCTGCGGTCGATATGGCAAGGCCGTACAGGAGGATGGCGAATGCACTCCACAGCTGCGACACTTTGAGCACCTAGAGACCAGAAAATGGTTTTACGGCGATTGTTTGAAATTTTTCAGTGTGGCTTCGCGGAAAAGCTCTGACCTGCGGGCCGTCCCGATTGATGGTGTCGATGAAAAGGGACCGGACGGCGGCCCTGCCCTTCCGCCGCACCACGAGGCGCTGCCAGTATTCTATCAGGCCAGCTTCCTGGCAGGGAAAAACAATTAGATACCGGCTGCACCGAGTCACAGTGGGCCAGAAGACCATCACTGGAGGCAGCCAAAACTCTAGACGCGTTTTGAGCTGCAGAGTCGCTTGACAGGACTCGAATCGTTCGGAGAGCAATCCATTGGTGGGGTCACACGTTCGGTTCGAGTCCCATTTAGCGACGCGAGCTCAAAACACGTCTAGAATTTCGGCTGCCTCCACTGATGGTCTTCTGGGCCACTGTACGAGTTGTTGCAACATGTGGCTCACCCTGATCCTCTCGATGGCCCTGCTGAAGGGCTCCAGGAGGGGCGAGTTCTTGGCCACGGCGATGGCGACGGGGTACTGCGCCAGGCACGACCTCATGAGCCTCATCTTGCCCAGCGTCTCCGCGCCGAGGTTGCCGCCGACCCAGAAGAAGTAGAACGAGTCCATCTTCTGTCCGTGCACCACGAACCTGCCCGAGGCCACCGTCGGCTCCCAGGACTGCGGGTCCACCAGCCGCATCCCGTCGGCCAGCCTTTTCTCGGATGCGTTCTGCAAGACGTCCCCGACGGAGTCTAGTTTGGTGTGTCACAAAGAGGCTTCGGGGGTAACCGAGGAAAAACCACCTCCAAGTTCAACATGACGTGGAAGTTGGGGACGTAGGTGGAGGCCCACGTCAGGCCGTGGTCCACGATCTCCTTGGCGGAGTTGATGGGTGGCTCGAATGACAGCATGGTGAGGTGCGCGATGAGCCCCGAGGAGAAGGCCGTGGTCATGAGCACCGAGTACACGACCCACCAGGTGATGAGGTGGCGCTGAGGGCCGAGGGATGCCTTGGACGGCGGCACGTACGCCACCAGGGCCAGGCCCAGCAGCACCAGGAAGCTGTCCAGCAGCGAGCCGAAGCCTGCAGCACCGCCACGCACAGCGCGCCAGAAGACCGGTGGAGGCGGTCAAAACCCCGGACGCGTTTTGAGCTCCGGAGTCGCTAAATGACACTCGAACCGAACGTGTGACCCCATCAATGGGTTGCTCTCCCGACGAGGAATCGATTGGTGGGGTCACAGGCCCCGTTCGAGTGCCACTTAGCGACTCTAGAGTTCAAAACGCGTTTAAGTCGCAAAAAGTCGCGTCGCCTGACCCTCAAAACGCAGGGCACCTCACCTCCGGCCGTGACGGCGCCCACGCGCCTCGCCGTGCGGTCCAGCAGGCGGGCGGCCACGGTCACCACCACGATGGACAGCAGCCAGGCCGACCAGACCAGCTTGTCCAGCGGCTGGAACACGGCGTCGGCCGTGCTGCCCAGGATGTGCGGCCGTGGCACCATGAACGTCAGGCAGGATATCTGCGGCACGGCAAACACTCAGATGGCCGGCTCGCGTGCGCAGAGCCATCGACCCGCCAAATGGTGTGGATTAACAGGGCCTAGTTGGCGACGGAGGGTGGGCACAGTGACACCGGGCCCGGTTGATGAAGTTTGCAAGTCGTCTGTTTAGTTCGATCTCTCGAAAATCAAACCCCATCGCATGACGTTGACCGCTCACCCGGGTGGGCGTGGTAAAGTCCACGACGCGCGACTGGTCCAGCTGCACCCACACGTTGAGGCTGAGGTCCGCGTCGCCCTTGGCCACCGCACCCAGAGTGCCGCCCCTCCACGACGAGTTGCCATCCGGCTTGCCGAAGTGGTCCCTGCTGTCCAGATGCACCACGGCCCACGTGAAGTTGAGGTGCTCGGCGATCATCTCCAGCACGGCCCACTCCGTGCCGTACACGTTCGCTGCCAAGTACAAATTTGTTTGGAGTCCTCGACGCGTGCCGGAGTTTTCCTCGTTGTCGAGGACTCACTCAGATTTCTCGGGTCCTCGATGTAAACAAGCGGAGGCTGGTGGAAAGCCGCGACCTTGAGAGTGCGACCGCGGAAGTCGTGGTTGGTGCTCTCCTCCCGGAGTGCCGGCAGGTCGCTCCTGATTGGCTGCCACAGTCGCGGGCGGCGATAGGCCGCCGTGAGCCGCCAGCACTGCCTCGAGGGCCACAGCAGCAGCACGGCGTCCGCGCCGCCCAGGTCCTGTCAACCACTACGGGGATTCAGAAAACATTGAAAAAGAAGCGAGAGGAAGAGGCAATTTTTAAAAGCGCGCAGACTCGCCTGAATCCCATTACTGGGCGACAGGGCTGCGTCGTCCGTGGTCCCCGTCACGCTCCCCGTCACGAGCAACACGCTCTGTGACGAGGTAAGCCCCGCGTGCCTGCCGCGTGATGACGTAATCTGGCCGCCAACCACGGCGGCAGCCTCGGCCGCCTCCTGGTAGGCCTCGGCCAGAACGAGGATGCCACCGCATTTCAGATCCGCAGAGCCGCAATCACTGGGGCCCTGCGCACGGGACGGAGTCAAAGTTAGCGCGCATGGAGGGCCTAGCAGCGTGCCAGCAGGCCATCCTGTGCTTATAATAAGGTGCTTATAATTTCCCCCGTTACAATTTCTCTACGATTTTCAAAGAATTTGTTTGCAGTGTAGCCAAACCGAGGACAATAATAAGAACGCTTTGCTGTTTCCCACGCAATGCCAGGAAAGGTTTTGCGCTTGGCTGGGCAGCGTATTGACTTATCGCTCACCTCTCCGGTTCCCGTTGGCAGATTACAACGGGAAGGACGGACGCCTCCACCAATCTGGCTAATGGCGCTCCCGGGAACGTCAAGTAGATGACGAAAATGCACTTGTGCCTGGGCTTGAAAGCAATGTGCAAGGCTTCCTCCAACTCCCTCTGCCTGTCGCTTTGGCCCTGCGGCACGGCCTCGAACAGGGTCTTCGTGTGTCGCGGACGACCCTTTTCGATTCTCCCTCATGGTGAAGCCTCTATTTTGGCCGCCACACTGCTCTTCGTGCCCCACGAGCTGTCCCACTGCGAATACCAGCGCCTTCAAAGCAGTACAGAAAAGAAGGTTAGAATCGCAAGGGGCATGCTTTTAGTGATTTTACTTTGAAACGTTTGTCATCGCTGTGATCATGCATGTTAACCATTTATCGAAACAATAAAAGAGTTTTTATTGACATGTCACTGCGTCAATATGTGGGAAATTCGCAACAACTTTTTTTCCCTGATGTAAGGGAACGCTACGCCCTTTCCCGCTTTGGGTCTTCCTGAACTACTGCCGAAGTCGCGGACTCGGAGGCGACTCCGTGAAAGGGGCTCCACAAAGGAGTTCGTTAGGGGGGACGCAGCGTGAATGGCAATGCAGCCGATCAGCAGACTGAGGGTCGCCCTGTCCCTCACGCACTCGCGGCCCGTGGCGTCGAGGTGCGACAGAGACGAGACGACGCTTGGAAGTCGCTCGGCAGGCGGGTATTGGCGAATCCCGGTCGTGTGGGCGTCCTGATACAGACGAGTCTTACCACCGCCAGCGCGCCTTTGAAGCCGACATGGCCCATCTCAAGGCACGGACAGCGTCCATGCCGCCAGGACGCGTCCACGGAGCAGTGCCACACCACTGCGGAAGAAAAGGCGCTCTCCAAAGGAAACGAAACATCAGCACCACACGAGGGATTCTTCGTGGCGGTGGAACCGTTAAGACGAAACACGAACGGGAAAGAAAGGAGGCTCCGCGGAAGACTTACGTGCGACGAGGTGGGCCCGAGCCGCGGCGGCAGGCAGCCATTCTTTCCGACGCAGTGAAACGCACCTCGGCCGCAGCGGCCTCCAAGTGAGGCAAAAGACCGTGCTCGCAGTGCTCGCCTGACCACACCGCATTAGCGGCCCACCGCTCGCCGTCCCAGCAGGGCCGCGGGGCCCCGCCGCCCTCTGGAGTCCCCCCCCCCCAGAATGCCCCACCAGGGCCCACCAGGGCCCACCAGGGTGCCGCCTCGGTGGCCGTTTGGCCACGCAAGCGTAAGAGCGTCCGGTTGTGTTTGCTGCACACCACACCCGCGTCATGTAGCGACCCTTGGTGGTCTCGGGACTAATAGTCCATTATGAGCAGCATTAGCCGACACTAGCAGTGCAGTGCCAGACCTTCCAGTCCCTTCCAGTCCCTTCCAGGCCGAGGTAGCCGCACTCCGCAGGCAACCCCTGCGTGTGCCTCGTGGCTGCGTTTTGTGTGGAAGTAATGGCGAATGAGTTCAAAGCGGATAGGTAAATAAAACTTTGTAATTCGTTTCACTGGTTAATTTGACTCGTGCAATATTTGCACGTCTAACAAGTACATGACTGCGCCGTCTCGGAGACTTACATCGCAACGTTAACTAGACTAAGAGACTACACGTCCAATGACATTTTGCGCTGAGAAGAACACATTGTTTCGTCACATTGTAACTGGCAGTTCGATCACAAAAGTAAACGAGGAATCTTACAATTAGACAGGACAGTCAGTTTTATGTTACTATCACAAGAGCATTAGACAAATGCATGCAAAAACACATTAAATGAGTTTTTAGGTACGACATTTCCTATTACTAAATTAAAATCTTACTTGACAACACTGACATTGGGCTTCAGCCAACAGTCATAGTCGGAGTCAACTAACATCGTCTTCTAACTACAGAAAACAAACTACAAACAAGAATTTCACTCTTGCTTGTGTGGATCCACATAGGGCTGTGGAACATGTGTCTCTTCGAACGGAGACTAATGCTTTTTTTATTGATTTGGTCACCGTGAGATCTTGGCTACTTAATCAGTCTTTGAAGCGAGCCCCGGGGGCCGCCATGGCGCGCCAGCGCGTGTCGAGGAGGTAGCCACGTCCTCGACCGGACGCCTCAGGCAAAGTGGAGCTGCACGGAAGCGTCGTTCCACTTCCTGCCGTGCTTGGGACAGTCCTGGTTGTACTCGGCGCTCACTTCCAGCGCCCACTCAGAACTGTCCCCTCCGTGCTATTTGTCCGGGTTCGCCACCAGCCGCTTGAAGTTGTTGAGCTGCACCACCGACTGCGTGTCGGCCGAGCTGGGCGTCGATTCCCTGTTGGGGTGGACAGGCTTCGTGGTGCCTCGGCAGCGCAGCGCGAACTTCAACTCCATCAGCAGCGCTTCCTTCGGTGATATCTGGTAAAAGACTCATTATGAGCAAACGTCAGATCAATTCACGTCAGGTTAAACTATCTGACGTACCTTATACTCGATCGCCACTTTGCGAGTGTTGAGGATAAACTCCAGTACGGCCACGAGGAAGGCGAAGGCACATCCGGAGATGAGAACGACGAAGACACCACCGACGTTGTCCAGCCCGAGCTCGTTTGCCGACGCCTCGCCAGCAGATGCCTCCTTCTGCAACAAATTAAAATGTTTTCAAGCATTTCTGCACGATATTTTAAATTTGAAGCAACCGACCAGTCAAAACGAATCACATATCTATTTTAAAAGTCCAAAAATGTTGACCACCAAAACTCTGTCAAGCCACGTTTTTTTTTATTAAATTCTACGGCACCCTTTAATTGGTTTCAAAAGTCCAGGTGGAATTTGACTTTTAAAAGTATATGATTCGTTTCGCCGCAGAAGGCATGTTTTTCGTTTCCACGAAGTACTCTGTTCAAAATCAACATACACCGTTCCGTCTTCTTACCGTCTTTCCGGTCAGATGCAAACAAAACGAGACAAACACAAGTTAAGCATGTGAATTACGAGAAGTGCTCACTCAATCACCCAAACCACACACAAAATATTCACCTGGCATTTGCCACCACCATGCATTTGTTTCCACCACTTTTCTTTGAGAGCGGCTAATTTTCCAGATTCTTGCAGCTTCAAGACAGCGCCCGAGATGAGCGTTCTGTACCACGAATCTGAAAGTAATTCAAACGGGAACAGTTAAAAGAAACTGGCTTCTCATATTTGGAAGTGACCGCAAAAACGAGTCACTCACGCATGGGCATGGCGATGCCGTAGCCTTTGGAATCCATGTGGTTGCCGATCTGCATCAACTCGCAGTGCCTCTCCACTTCGTACTCGATGGACGACGACTCCATGAGGTAGGCGTAACTCCGCTTGCTCTTGAGGACGCGGTCCACTCCCTCGGCGTTGCTCTTCGGGAACACGGATGGCCTCGCCGCTTCCATGGCGGCCCACATCCGCTGGTAGTCGGAGAAGTTGGAATTCTGAAAAAAAATTAGGGGGAACGTTACAGGAAAGAAACAAAGTGGTGGGTCCAGGATCGCTCCATGCACTGACACGCACCTTGAAGAATGCTTGCGTTGATCCTCCTTCGATGCAGCCGTATTTGATCTTGTTCTGCTGGGCGAGGTCCTTGGCGCTCGTGATCGTGTCGTCCATGCGGTTGACTGTCAGGAAGGCAGCCAGGTTGGCGGTGTACGAGGAGATCATGATGAGCGTGAAGAACCACCACATTCCGGCCACCATGCGCGTTGACACGGCCCTACAAAACGTAGAAGGTTGTGATTTAGGTATTTTTCACAGATGAGCGTTTCGTGCCCCCCCAAAAAATATATGGCTTGTCTACAGGTTTATCTTAACGTAAGCAGCTAATAGGAGTAGGATTGTTAGAGGCTCGAGTCATTTCAGATTCAAAATTCCAGGGGTAAGTTAGATGAAGATGTCAAGGCTTATTAAAAGTTTTGTTAGTTTGATTTTCAACTGCTAAACCACACTGTTACTGATTTGGCACGCAGGTAACAATAGCCTTACTGAGGGGCAATGTCAGAGCCTTGCTGCATAATGGAACCGATATTGTGCCAGATAGAATTGCTCAAGTTTAAAGTATTCTCTAGCTCTGTGGGTTCTTGGTTGCAGGGGTGAGGGTTGCTCCACTCGTACGGGGTAATTCTGGAAGAGGATTTAATCCAGATAACGATTAGATAAGGTAAAGTTTTCCTCCACAGAACGAATGGCAGAGCTCTGTACCAACACATAGATTGATTGACCTGTCCGCCGGAAGTCCCACTACGTCTGGTCAGACAAATGGAACCTGGTAAACTCAACCACATTGTGCTACTGGTAGTATACAGATAGTTTTACTCTACTTTTTTTAAAAGAGCTAAGTGCCAATTTCGTCTGCGGAGGTTTTGCTTACTTGGGCAGGAAGTCACATCCTTGCTGCAGAAAAGAGCCCATAGCGAACCACATACTGTTGAAAAGAGTAAATGTGTTCTGGAGCTCCTCTGGATTCGGATTGCATGGATGGGGGTTATCCCATTCGTATGGAGAAGTCCTGCGAAATATTAGGTCAACGAGACACGTGAATCACACCAATTTAGCCCATGAATGTGATTTCAAAATCCTACTTTTCAATTTGCTTTATGATTATTTCTAGTCAAACAAAATTCAACGACAATGTATGGGTTAGAGCAATTCTGTCGTACCTTGCAAGCACGAAGAGGAGGAGTGAGACACCGACGTACGCTGTGGCCATGTAAATCCATACCTCAAGAGATAATGGAGATAAAAATGAAAACAAATTTGGAGGAGGTTCTTGAGGCTTGCTGAACAAAATCGATATTCCTGCATGAAGAGAGCGCGAAGGTATGAAGGCTGGTTGTAGGCTAACATTTCAGTCTTACTTTCAAATGAATTTATTGATCTAAATACTTACCCAAATTCATAAATGGCATAGTAAAGTCCACTGCTCGTTCTCGGTCATACGTTATCGTAAGATCACAGATTCCAAGATCGGCTTTCTGAAATGATACAAAGATAGATTAGTTTAAGAAAAGGCAAAAATATTATCAAAGTAGAATATTGACAACGTTTCTGACTTACCCTGTCGAGTAAGTCCTTGATTATTCCATCCCATTGTTTGGTTGTTGGATTCAAGCTTCCGTACTTCCCGTCTTTAACCAGGTAAAATTCATACTTAAAATTTAAAATCAATGAGATTTCGTGGATCAAGTCCATAGCATAGCCCTCAAGGCCGTCGTTTCTGCTGTCTTCGGTCCAGTTGTCCAGCTTCATTAAATATGGAGCACCCTGGTAGTAAAATTGTAAAATTTTAATTGAGAAGCGGTGCTTTTGAGGCGCGTTAATCTGTTAATGACACGATGTGGCACTCACAAGGCGCGAAACGACTCGCATCAGCTTCTTGGACAGCTTCTGCTTCTCCGACCGCTCCATCTCCTCCACGCTCCTGAAGAGGTGGATGCCCGTCATGTTCCAGGTGCCCGTCGCGTTGTTGGAGTTGGTCTCCACCAAGGTGAGCGTGAAGTTGGTGCGGCGATACTCCGCGCTGGGGTCCAGCGCGATGAGCCCCGTCATACCCCTCTCCTCGTTCGCCGGGTTGCTGTAAGTCTGCAGAATAACACGAGGATCAAACATTTTTTTTCACACTTAAATTAACGTAAGTACAATTGACGTGTTTACCATTTTCATGAACGTGATGAGCCGCTCGCCGTGTTCCCATTTTTGGAATCCGTCGCACTGCAGCGGGGCTTCGTAAATTTCCGGTGCCGTCTGGTTGAGCCGGTGCAGGGACTTGGCGAACATGTGCACGGCATCATACATCAGCGCGGCGGACGTCTGCAACACAAAGAATGCATGCCGGACCACGTCTTGCGTAACAGACACCGCCCTGTTGTTCGCGGCGTACCTTCACTTCCTCCGGGGTGATGTTGATGGTGTTGCCCCGCAGCCTCTCGCTGAACACCCAGTCCTGCACGGCGTTCTGCACGTCGATGGACGTGGGGTCCACGAGACGCATACCCGTGATGTTGGCGATGTTCCGCTTGTCCGTTATCCAGCTGTTGACCACGGAGAAGTTCAGGGTGTGGGCATCCTAAAGCGGGAAACAAAAACAAAAGTTATGTAGTTTTTGTATCGCGTTTGGCGAAACGCGCCCGGTGACGGTTTTACCAGTGAGGTGACTAGGTAGCTGGTGTAGTCGCCCATCATCTTGACCTGTCTGGCTTGCAGGAACAGGTCCACGATGCGCTCGGTGGACACGTCGAGCACCAGCCGCGACTCGGACGTGTTGTGGATTTCTTTCAGCAGTGGCCTGGTGATAAAGAAATCGACCGTCGGCGTTAGAGGACACTGTTTGAAGGCAGCTAGACCCGCCAAGTCAGTGCGTCACCTGTAGTCGTCGCCCTCCCCGAGCTGGCGCACCGTGATGGGGTTGTCACGCGGCCCGTGCACCTTAAGCACCTCCTGCAGCCGCACCAGCCCGTCGTCGTTCTCGTAGATGATGGTGAAGGTCCTCCAGGCCATGTCGTCCAGCAGCGCCACCAGCGCCTGCGCAGAGCGGCGCAGAGCGGTCAGTCACAACGCGTCGCTACTCCGCGCTCCGCAGCGCGTGAGGTGCGGGACTAACCTGGGACAGGCTCTTGGGGTCCGGGTGGATGTTGATCTGGAACTTGGCGGGCCGCGGCGACGTCTCCCAGTGTGTCAGGATGTGGGGGATCTCCAGGGTCTCGCAGATGGACGTGACGATGCCGAGGGTCTCGGAGCTCTTGGGGCCGAACACGGCGGACACGCCCTGCCGCGTGATGTTGCACACTGTAAGGCAGAACGGGAGTCACGGCGTGCTTGGGGGCCGCTAGTGGAGCCAGCAGTGTACGTACGGCGCTTGCCCGTGCTGAAGCTGTCCACCGGGGACACGATCTCCACGATGGGCACGAGGCGCACGTGGGGCAGCACCAGCTTGTCCATGTTGATGCGGTCCACGGCGGCGCGGAAGGCCAGGATGTCCTGCCAGTCCTCGCGGTGGAACAGCCCCGCTGTGGACAAGGACACAGAGCTAGAGCAGTTCACACCTGGCGGCGCGCCCGGCGTGGCCGCGGCCAGGGATTCGCCCGGAGGAAGGACAAATGGGTTGAACCGCAGCTGTCCCTCGTGACAGGCGCGCACAGTCGCCGAGGAGGTGGCCGGCCAGGGCCGCGCGGCCGCGGACCGCCGCGCACCGGGACTACCCGGCAGCGCAGTGCCTCTGGCAGGGCGTAGCTGCGGACCGGCAATACTCCGCGACCGGCGAGGCCCCTCGGCCCCGGCGATACCCCGCGCGACCCTTTCGCCTCTCTCCTCCGAGGCAGTCGCCTTGTTTGCGTCCGTCACGTGGTGTATCGCGGATGTTTACGTCCGTCTGTCTTTAGAGGGGCGCCCGAAAAAGAACACGGACTGAGTTGCTTTTCTCGCCAGCGTTTCGGCAAATATGATGGTTAGGTATTCAAATATTAAGAGAGGCCGTGTGTGTGTGTGCGAGGGGTGTGTGTTTGTGGGGGGGGGGGCATTTTTATTTCACAGTGTCTGCGACCTCTACCTGCACCCAGCCTGGCCCATGTAACCTCTTCGTTACCATGGGAACGAGTTTGAACCGCGTGCAATCATGGAACCGCGCCGTCTGCGCTTTTCTTTTGCAACCTGATTTTGCTTGCAAAGCGTACGTGCTCCCGATTGTCAGTTCGGAGCGAGTTTCTTGCCTGCCGCTGCGCGCTGCGCGATGCGCAGTCCCCGGCCGACTTCGTTGACAATCCTGGAACCGGCCCAAAGTAGTCCCTGCATGCACTCCAGGTCGCAACTTCCACAATGATTCATGCCATCCCGGGGCCTCGCTGAATGCTCGCGCCGGCGGAAGTACCATAGTCGCCCCATTTTTTCATTCGAAACATTTCTGACTTTGACATGCGTATTTCTGGGCAGTGGCGGCTCTTTTTAATTTGCCCCTATATCCGGTTGGCGCCGGCTGGCGGTCGCGATGGTGGTTACATTTCCCAGTTTACCGACAACGTGGGTAAGGGGGTGCATTGAAGACCAGGAGGGCGGAAATATAAATACCCCCACTACACATTAGCCCCCCCCCCTTCCCCCCCGCGGGTCCACGGCCCCGCACGCCTCGGCGACTCCGCCAAGCTTATTCCGCATGGCTTTTTCATCATGTGGCCACCAAATTGCGCAGAGCGACCGGGAGGGGACGCTTTAAAACACACCGAGTGGTTTGTTGCCCTTTTGGCCCACCTTTTGGCCCTGCCTTTTCCACGGACGGGGCTCGAGAAAAATAAATATGCCTTGTCGCTGAGTATGCTAAACTTGACCCCGCCCCGAAAATTCACGTAAACAGGTCGTCCACGGCGACTCGACAAGATCGCTGAAATTTTAACTCCGAACTTCCCTCAGCGTCGTCAGAAAGACATCGTCTCCAAGGACGCTGTAAGCTAGTCGACCGCGGGAGGAGGAGGCCTTTCAGGTAAGGCCGGATTATAAAGTGTTGACTTTGACTGCAAAGTCCCGCCCTGGTGAAACTGGCCCGGACAGCGCCGTGTCTGCCGTGCCGCGCCCCGCCACGCTCAGGGGTCTTAGCGTTTGCGGCGCGAATTACACAGTGCAGGTGCCACTTCTAATGATCCGACCCCTCACCTTGCCCCGACCTCTCCACGCCGCCCCGCGCCGCCCCGCGCCGCCCGTCGACTCCACTGAATTGAGGGAACAAGCGCTGCCCCTGTCTGGAGCAGGGTTCAGAGTTCCATCGACCAATTCTGGAGCGATAACCATTCCTCGGCGCTGTCTGCTGGGCGTTGATTACTCCCAGGCGAAGAGAGAGACTGCCACACTGTCCTGTCTGCCGAACCATTCTGTTTTTCGGCCTCGACGTTCACATCGAACGACTTCCGTAAAATGGCCCGCCGTCTTCCTCCGTGGTTCTCAACAGTGCGTCAGTCTGCTGACCTCGAATCCAACGGTAAGCGGCCGAACAGATCGGCCGAGCTGACACGGCACGGCGGCGCAGACGGTTTTAGCAGTGTTGGAACTCTTGGCGCCCCTGTCGCAAGATCTCGCTGGCAGCGCTAGGGTCTTCAAAGGATGGGCCGCACCACCCTGCCACCCCGCCACTGTTCTTGTATTGGAGTGTGGCGGAGAGAGAGAGAGAGAGAGAGAGAGAGAAGACCATCCGCGCGGCTTAGAGAGAGACAGCACCACAGTGTGGCCGGCAAGAAGATCCCCGTTCAGGAGGGCAGTCCGGCTTGAGCCGAATTGGCGGAGTGGGGCCATCAGACTTGCGGTGTGCTGGGCACGGCGGTGGCACGGCGCGGCTCGGCCAGGCTCGCCGAGGCACCGTGGCGTTACTGGGGTAATAAAAGGGGGTCCGCAGACGCGGCGATGAAGGGCACGGCCAAAGCCTTCGAGACCGCGTCCCTCGTTCGAGCTCTCGTTCGAGCTCTCGTTCGAGCTCTCGATGGAGCCTGGACTTGGACGCGAGCAGCAGCAGCAGGCAGTTCCAGGGGGAGAGCTTACGGACGTTGCCCGGAGAAGCGGCTCAAGTCACCAGTTGGCGTTTGCCCGGACCTGACAAATACTTGAGCCACGGCGCGCTGGAGGCAACAAAGTGCGCCATCGTTGTGGCAATTCACGAAGCGAGAAGGACGAGAAGCCCACGTCTTGATCCCTCTCTCCATCGGGAGTAAAGTGCTACCCGGCCTTCGCGTTGCGTTTCCGATCTTTCACGAGTTTGTCAATTCCAACTCGTGTGTGGGTGCGGCCAGGTCTCGCACATTTATCATTCCGTTTTCCGGGAAGACTCGAAGCCAACTGGGTCAAGCAGCGTCGCGGTCGAGTTTTTGAAAGCCGCGGTGTTGGCGGTGCACTGGGACAAAAGACCCAATTATGGATCCATGAAGAGGCCGCAGTCATTGGCCGGGGGTTCAAAAGCGCGCGTCAACCGAAAAAAAAATGATCACCCTGTCACGGCCCGCGGGCGTGATTCCTTGCGGGGCCTAACCAATTTACAGTGTGGCCATAAAACGCAGACGAGAGCAAAATGGAAATGTGGCACTCGAATTGACTCGATAATATTTGGCACAGTCGGGAAGGGTAATTTTTGACGCTCTGTCGAATGTTGTAGTATCTACATTCTAGCCCACAACCCATAACCCATATCATCACGAGGTGATTGTGTTGGGTTCGCCTTACTGAACCTAACAAAAACAGGTTGATCTTCCCTAATAGATTGGCGTGTCGGTTTCTGGTCCGTTTGCCAGCATGACAATTAGACAGAAGGGCGGAATCTGTTCTCCAGGCTTGGCCCCCATTTTCGCGCCCATTACCCTAGACGCGACGTGTGCCATCGCGGCTCCATATTGCACGGCTCACTGCCGTTACATTAATGGATGGAATAAGTTTAGCGGAATATTTGCAGGCATCGAACGGTCGGGTGAGCTGGCAAGGCCTTCGGAACGACCCATTACCCGCCGGTCCACTCACTGGAGGCTCGGCGGAGAATCCCTGCTTCACCGCGAGCGTTGAAGATACGTGATAAGGGAAATATTTCGCGTCGGTGAGTACTTAGCATTCCAAAACATTCACCCCCAAAACTGATCTACCTGAGCAGCATTGTGAGGCCAATGCGATCCGTTCCCTTCACAGTGCGTCCCCGCAAGCCGAGCGCTGTTGCAAGGTCGCTCCGCGTCTCTCGCACCCCTAAACGACTCTTCGCACTCAGCCTCCGGGCCGCGCTTCGCTCGAGCCAAAATGCAAATCCGAAGGCCGTGCCGACGGCAGCCGCGCCACACCTGTGAGGCCCAGGCAGCCCCACTGGAAAAGGGAGGCCCTTTCCCTGATCGCTGCCGGACCTTCCAAGAGGCGCAGTCAACACTGAGAAGGGCGGGCTGGGAGTAGTTTGCCCAACAGGGGTTTTCTCATGAATCCCAAAGCAGAATATAGGAAGCGAAAGTAAAGAACGCGCGGAAGGAACAAACACACGGCTCTATGGTTCCTTGCTCTCGTAGCGCCGCGGAGAAAATCCTCTGCTTATTTATGTTCATATCGTGATAAAGTAGTCCGCAACTTCCGTAACTAACATCGTTACCCAGGACAAATCGAACGGCGCAAAGCTTCGTCTTAAAAGGCAGCCATAAACCAGCTGAGCTGTGCAGTGGTTGTCTACGTGCCTCCAATTAGAAGCCTCCTCCAGGTGACAGATGTATCGCACCCCCGGTGCCTCCGAGCTCCCGTTACGTGCCTGGAGTGCACCCTGGAGACAGCCACTCCAGGCGAGGCCGCGGCCTGGAGTCAAGCTAGCACTGACAAAATTGTGGCGAGTTTGAAATAAAGACAGTTTCATTCTGGCGGAGGTTTCTTGGCGCGCTCTGGGATCGGGCCCTGCTGCATCCTCCAGTCACTTCAGCCGTCCTTCAATTGGACCTCTCTCGGATCGGAGACAAGGGCCTGGCCGGGGTAACTTTACAGCTGGTCTGCCTGTCTGTCTGTCTGTCTGTCTGTCTGTCTGTCTGTCTGTCTGTCTGTCTGTCCGTCCGTCTGACTGTCGGTGTCCGTGTCCGTCTGCCGCCAAAACAAAACCCCGGCTGCCCTTGTTAATTCAGACTTGTCGCCACGGCTGACGTCACACCGACCGCGCCAGGCGCTTCAGGGAGCGCGACGCCAGCGGCAGGGCTCGCCACAAGATGCTCCGGTCCGGCTGGCTGATTCCCCGGCAATTAAAAACTTACAGTGACTGTCGTCGACTCGTGTCAGGTTCGGGCGTCATGGTGGCTGTGTTGACGCGGGGACGCGGCGTCACAAAGTTACGGAATCTTGTTAGGACGAAACGGCATTTCGAGTTGTATAATTTAGGCATCGCCGCTGTACAGCCCAAACAATCAGACTGAGACGGGGCGGACCGACGGCCAGGGGGTGGGAAGGTCGAGGCTATGCATTGTTGTCGCTAACAAAGTTTAAGTCCGGCGCCTCTGTGTGTGCGCGTGTGTGATGTATCGTTTGTCGAGTGAATTTCCGCCTGCAACTGCAGCGCTCTGCCTACAGTGTAGGCCCTACACCAAGTTCAACTCACCTATGTGCAGTTCCGGCAGCTCGTCCCGGGGGTCGCTGGTCTGCCTCCACGACTCCGCCATGGAGGCAGCACAGCAACACAGCAGCAGCGTGCGAAGCGACATCTGTGGGCAGGACGAAGCGACAGTCTTGAGGCAGTCGGAGAGAACTCTAAAATAGCCAGACGCTAATTGCAAATTGCGATATCCGCGTACACTGTAGAACGAACAACGCGAAGGCGGTGCGGGGATGTGGCCTGCAGGGGAACGCGGTCCGTGGAGCAATTCATAACAGCGGATCATTAGCAGCACCACCCCTCGCCGCGCCTCGCCGCCACACCGCCTCGCTCGTCCTTTTGGCCCGGCCAATCAGAGCGCTGCGTCTGTTCCAGTCTGTTCCAACGTGTTCCAGGCACTTCCAGGCACCTCCAGGCACTTCCAGGCTATTCCAGGCGGACGGCCACGCGACCACGCGCCCATTCACCGGCATGCAGAACGCTGCGCGCCACGCGCCGCCACGCGGTGGAGTGGCGGTATATCGGTGGCCGCCGACGAGAACCAAACTGAAAAGACGGTGGACCAAACAGGAAAATCGTCCATCAATACGGAGGAATGTGGGGCATGCATGGCTGCGCTTCTGAAGGAGAAAAGGAAAAATCAGCGTGACGTGGACGTGGCCTGTTCATTAGAACCTTGTTAGGCCCCGCAAATTCGCGACGCGAAAATTATTCAAAGGAATTTCTCCGAGCTTGTCGTCAACCGCGCCGTCCTTGCCCACATGTGCGCCTCTCTCTCTGCGTCCTTTGTGGCGATGCATAGGCCCGGAGCACCCTCCAGTGGAGTGGGCCGAGCTGCCGGAGGAAAGGCAAGCCCTCGGATTTTTCTCCTGGCGGATAGAGAGGCGTCGTACAGATAGGACAGCACGGCACAACTGGAGATGACACCAAGATAGAAGGCGGCGGGGTGGGGTAACAGGTCATAAGGCCAGGGCGCTAGCAGTGTGCTTGGCCTCGATACTCTACTACCCCCACCCCCTGCTCTTTCTCGTTAGGAGGAAGAAGTGCAGTCGGTCCGGGCTGCAAGAATTCTGTGTAACACGGCCGTACCCCATTTGCCGTGGAACCCGAAACCGACGCCATGGGGCCAGGCAGCCAGGCAGCCGGGCCTCGAGCCAGGCTGGACTCAGCGCGCGCGATGCGTAACCCCGGTACACACTGCCTCTCTTCTCTCTACCGAAAAAATATAACACATTTTTTTGAAGGGTTGGCGCGGTGTGGGAGGCTTGCACGTCTCTATCCCGACCCGCATGGCGCAGCGCGATAGACGCCCGCCTGTTTACGGTGTCGTGTCGCGCAAAAAGTAAGCAGCATTTGCATGGCCCTGGGCCCGGCGGCCTGGCCCTGGGCGGGGCGGGGCGGGGTAGGGCGGGCAAGGTGGGGTGGGACACCGCGGCGTAGGCTAAGCGTAGGCTAAGCGACGCGCGGGGCGGCAGCTCTGAGAATAAATCCAAAATCCCAACTTCACTGACATTCAAACCGCCACCTCGGTGCAGAGGGACTGACGACGACCTTGGCGCCCTCGAGATGGGAAGGAGGATTTGAACCCCAACGGGACAAAGCTCTCGCCGAAACAGTTTCCAGCCCGTCCGTGATGGAGCGAGCGAATGGAAGCCATTCTTGCACAGGCACCGCACCGCCTGCTCTTCGGCCTCGCTGCGGCCGTTCGCACCCCACGCACCTGCACAGCGCGCAGCCGCGCGCACAGCGCACCCCATTCGGACCGGGCCCTGGTTCCCCCCTGACCAGCCCCGCCCGCTGCCTAGCCCTGCCGGCCGGATGTCGATTTGAGAGGATGTGATGAGTTTCCGGTCGAGAGCGTGGCCGGTGCGAGCTGTTTGTGTGAGTGTGTGTGTGTGCGTGTGTGAGTTGCGTGTGTGTATGTGTGTGTGTGTGTGTCGTGTCCGGTACCAGCGCTGGCAGGCGGGTGACATGGCGTCCCGGTGGCTCAGTGGTTTAGAGCATGACGTGGGCAGCGGCAGGGCCCGGGTTCGGAACTGGTAGAAAATACAATTTTTTCGGCGACCACTTGCTTGGGGAGGTATATCCAGAGAAGATTGAGTACCAGCGCAGGCAGGCGGGTGCCATGGCGTCCCGGTGGCTCAGTGGTTTAGAGCATGACGTGGGAAGTGGCAGGTCCCGGGTTCGGGACTGGTAGTATGTACTAATTTTTTCGGCGACCAATTGCTTGGGGAGGTATGTCCAGAGAAGATTGAGTACCAGCGCAGGCAGGGCGGGTGCCATGGCGTCCCGGTGGCTCAGTGGTTAAGAGCATGACGTGGGAAGTGGCAGGTCCCGGGTTCGGGACTGGTAGTATACACAATTTTTTCGGCGACCAATTGCTTGGGGGAATATATCCAGAGAAGATTGGGTACCAGCGCAGGCAGGGCGGGTGCCATGGCGTCCCGGTGGCTCAGTGGTTAAGAGCATGTTGTGGGAAGCGGCAGGTCCCGGGTTCGAGACCGCTCCAGGTACCCTTTTTTCGGGACCAGATTTCTCGAACGGCAGCTCAAGAGGAGTTGCGACATCGCCGCCGACAAGCTGGTTCGGTGGCTGAGCGGTCAGGGTAGAGGAGTTGACTAGACTCGGCACTCGGGGTCGCGGGTTCAAATACCCAATGTGACCCCTCTGAGGTAAGGCCTCTGAATCTGGACTCTCACTGTACCACAGAAACCGCGCGCACTTCGGGTGGGCCAGCCCAATACGAACTCCACTAATCTGTCGAATTGCGCGGCAGGGATGCGTCGGATGAAGGCCCGGTTCCCATAAGAACACCGAAGCTGATCGGCGGGTCTCCTTGAGACTTTCGTATTGCCACTTTTTGCCGCCGATTTTTTCCATGAAACGCACTGCGGGAATGGCGCATCATTGCCCAGCGGTACTTGTTCAGTGTGCAAGCTACCAGGTGCGAACTACCAGGTCGAGTGGTGCGGCCACTGCCACAAAATTTGATTTCCCCAAATCAGGATGCGTTTCTCGGTATGCGCTGGGTGCACCGTCTAGACTGCTCGTCTCGCCCCTTGTCTGGTCGTGTGCACTGTAACGCGGCCTCGAGGCGGCCCAGGCTGCGCTGCACACTGGGAACCGCACGAGGGCCCCTCTCCCCCAGGCTGCCCAAGCTGCCCCAGGCTGCCCCAGGCCGGCTGGGGGCGAGAGGGTCATGCGTGCAGGCAACCTATGGATCCGCACTTACGCCCCCTGCCCCCCTCCCCCCTTGATGCCTTTCCGGCGGGGCCCTCCGCCTCCAGCATGCTGATTGGTGATCCACACGGAGGCCCCCTTCCCCCTCCCCCCGCCTCCCTAAATTCAAAGCCTGCTGCAAACTCGAGGAGGCGCCAGCCCCTCAAGCTAGGGGGGATACATCTGTGCCGCCCGTCCCGCGCCGCGGGCACACTCTGTGTTTATGTGTGTTGCAGGGTGGGTGGGGGCTCGACATCAAATATCAGGCATTATGTGGTCGCCAAGTTTGTCCAGCGTACTGCGTGCACTGCGTGGCGCCGGCTGAAGTCCGCTGTGTTCAAACAGCGCTCGTGCCGTCATGAATTGAGAATGAAACCGCTTACAGCGCGGCCGCGGTGCTCCGGCTTTGCCAGGTGTTTTTGGCAGTGGGCCGCGCATCCGTCGAGCAGAGCTGGTTATGCCGCGGCCTGGCTTGTTCTGCGGCTCAGCCCGTCAGCGCGGCTGTCGTCGCTCCGTCTCCCTCGCACCCACGCGGCGCCGGGCCGAGTCTGCCGAATCAGACCGGAAGGGAGTCTGGCGGGCTGCGCCACTGGCAGCGCTTCGTTGTCGCGCACCCGTTGTGTGCATCACGCAATTTCCGAAAAACCCTCGTAAAATGGCCTTAATTAAATTTAATAAATGTTATATTAAATCTTTATTAAGTTTTCATTAATATTTAACAAATACCAGTTTTATAAAATTTAATTAACTTTAATGAAGTTTCTTATTAACTTTTGTTAAGGGCCCGTTAATAAGGCCAGATTGGTGAAGCAGCTACCAATAATGCATCCAGGTAGCACGTCATAGGCTCTTTCCGTTAACAAAAACTAGTTAAATATTGTTAAAATTAACAAGTTTTAATTCAATTTTTTGGTTTTAATTAAAATCTTTTAATAAAATCCCTTGTTAAAGTTAAAGTAATTTAATTAAAGAAGTTTTGATTAAAATCGGGCAACGTTTGAACTACTTCGATAATTTCGGATGGATGTTCGACAGAGACCCTCTGGCCGGGTCAGATTCCCCCTAGGCACCTGCCTAGAGGATCCAAGTCAAAAATATGGAGATCGGACTCCTCTGAGCGCGACTGGTTCAGAAGGATCCGCCTGCGCACCTTATACTAGCGGCTATGCTAGTGAACTCCGCGAGCTAAGGGATTGAAGTAGACGGCAGCGCCATCTAGCGGCATACAAGTTTTTATTAAATTTAATTAAATCTTGCATTCATAGGAATGACTTAACATTATCGTATTTATTGCCTTGAAAAGCGCGGGCTTGATGTCGATGCTCAATTAATGGAAGCTAGTCCCTTTCCTCGCTTTTGTCCCGTTCAATTCACGCTGTTCACGAAGACAAGCCTCTAAACTTATTGACATGATTAAATTAGATCGTAACATAATCCGTTAACTTAATCCAGGGCAAGTGTTCACTTTAATCAAAGAAGTCTTTAATTTAGGAACATCCGTAACAAACTCAAATTAAACACCGAACTAAACTTAACAAGACCGTCCAATGTTGTTAAAGTAAATTACAAAGGAGTTTAATAAAGAAATATTTTTAACAAACATTAATGTAAGGTTCAAATTAAATTTTGTTAGATCATTTTTTTAATAAATCCAACTAATAAATTTTTGTTAAACACGGCAATTTAACAAAAGAAGTTTAATTAAAGTAGACGATTTAATTAAAAGTTGATTACTCTTAACAAAACTTTAACAAAAATTTTATAAAATTTAATTTAACGTTTTTACGAGGGAACTTTCCTTTGTTTACCCAGTTCGGCCCGATTCTTCTCCATCGCTCTGCGCCGATCACGGGGGCAGCGGCGACCGCCTCACAGTGGGCCAGAAGACCG